AATGACGGAATGGTTGAAATAGTGCGCAGTGGAGGTCCTGATAGGTGTTTTTCTAACCCCCCTTTTTTTTGAGGTATTTGGCGTTAATTCATGCTTTTCATTTGTCACATGGTGTATTCTCAAGACCGTCGAGGTTATCCACCGGATTAAAAGGGAGGAGTGGGTAACCCTGAATCAGCTGCTCTGTGAAGATGGCAAGCCGCTAAGCTGAACGTTGCATGGATCCACCGTTTCACGCATCCGTGCACATCTAACGCATCACATCCTACTGCTTCTTGGTTTTGGACTGCAGAATTCCTGTCATGCTCCAGGTCGTTGCCCTCCATGCATCATCGTTCACACGTTGTACAACCCAAACGTATTGACATCAAATACGCTATGCAGAACTGAAAGTTGCCCCTGGAACCTTAGCCTCAAACCACTTTAATTTGCCACTCAGGTCGCGCAATTAAATGTTCCACACTCTCTCGTGACTCATCAAACTTGTACCACGGCATACCACACCGCCTCCAATGCGTCTTTCTAACCGAGGTAACTTGGCTAGGTGAGAAGACAAACTCAAGCCAAATCAACCCTGATCAACGGAAAAGGGTGGAAAACTAGCAATCAGTGAATAGCACAATGAAGGTCACTGTACTGATGACGGATCAACACAAACTGCCACAAACTACAAAAGGTCAGCAACATAATTTGCATCAGAAGCCGCAGCGGCCTATCCCAATCAACTGGTGAAAGCGACATTTTGCTGCTCAGCTAACACCTACCACCCCACTGACGAGGACACCACCGGTTATTAGGCAGTAAAGGTAATCGGCTGCAGAATATTCACGAAGCCGCGTTGGAGAAATGCATGCCCCGTGACAAGCCCTATAGAATGCTCACAATATTCAAGCATGCCAATGCGATAGAATCGCATTACTGTAGCACACTCTACCCGGTGGCTTCCGTGAACAAGAAAAGATTGCGGTTGGACTTCACGCCTGCGTCCTCAAGAAGCAACGCTCACACACACACACATTACCATCGTCTTAACCATCCTGACGAGAGAAGGCCGGACTGATACGTGACATGTGCGCCTATTACCGGCAGTGGGAGACACTTGCCACCCGCTTCCACACATAGTGATCTCGGGGGAGCATCCCTCACCAATGACCAGAGGCATCAAAATGCCCATTCAATTTTAGAGCTCTCCTCATATTACCGGTGTCAAAAAGAGGAGGCTCAGATTTCTGAAATTCTGGCCATCCCATTAATCTGAATTGAGGAATACGTGCCGGCTAGGATTGAGAGTAAACTGGAAGCCCTTTACTGCTAGTTGACACATGGAACACGATTGACTTCAGCGAAATTCGGGCAGTTACCGCCTCATTACCCACGGTACCAGCTTACCATTTTCCACGTCCCCAAAAAAGGTATTTATCCACTAGGTCAAAGCCAATGATGAGTATGTATATGTATAACAATTACAAAATACTTCCTATCCCCAATTCTTTTGGTGGACAATGAAAGTAGGATTGTAATGGACACTAGTCTTCGTCGTCTTCCTCCTCAGCTTCGTCCAACCAATCCATAAATGGCTTAATGCTCTCTCTTAACTTTCGACAGCCAGAAGCCAGTTCATCGTCTAACAAAAGCGGTGACGATACCACCCACTCCCTAACTACCTCCTCCGACACCAAGTCGACGTCATAGAGACAGGGAAGCAACCACCTTGCAGCTTCCATTACAACGGGTTGATAGCAGGCCTGGTCCTCAACCGCTTGCAAACAGTAGGACGCACATTCCGTCGAACTGGAGACGTACTTTTCAAGCACCGAAGCAAAGTGAGCAAGAATTCTCTTGAAAGCGATCGCGAAGGCGGCAGGATCACTCCCCTGTGTTGACGACGATGTCAAGGCAAGAAGGGCCTTCACAAACAGGAAGGCCAGATCCTCCAAGGAAATATTGTAGGCGTGTTTGAGGGAATTCACCTCCAGCATCACTACATCGGACGGCTGTTTCAACTCCAGGCTACGACTGAGGGTCTTCTGTAACTCCTGAATGAGGAACTCGTCATCTGTGTCTTCTGGCTCGCCACCACGAGCACCGCAAACGTCGAGATTAGCACTGGCGCCTCCAACGCCAGCCTCGCTTTCTGGATCGGCACTGACTACACCAGAGCTTCGCAGCCGTGAAAAGCTGGTTTCGCTGTCATCAAGCTGTGAGGAGACCGACACCTGCCCCCAGTTGGCTCGCCAAAGCGTCACATCCTTGTAACCCACGCTTCCTGCGTCCGAATCCGCAACAACTTCATCCCCGTCCTCTTCCATAAATGACACCTACAAGTGCAAGTGAAGGGATAGCTCGTGTCCCATTCCTCCCTGTTTCAGAGCGTAATAGCGCACTCACTAATGCACGTTGCCTTCATTTCCCATGCTGTAAGTACAAAAGCACCAGATTGCTCCTTTAGAAATTAAAATAAACATTTAGGGCGTATACCTACCTCAGTTCGAGAAACTTCCACGCGTTTAATAACTGTCCAGTCGCGTTCTTCACCCTCTTCAGATGCGACAATAATACTCTCAGGAGGGAGGTTGATTTCAGGCTCTGCTTCGATGCACATACGTCCAGAATGCCCATTGTCCACCCTTTTGGCCCCTTCCCTCGGTACGCCGACAAAACAACGAGGTCCCAAATGAACTTTGTCGTGAATACAGGCTCCGGAACAGAGCCAAGACTGATTTAAGCGGACGTTAGCACCGATATGGACATCAGAAAGGGCAACCACCCCACTGAGGTGTGAATTCTTTCCCACCGTACAGTTGTCACCCAAGACGGTATCAGTAAGCACAACACCACGCTCCAGGCAACAGTACTCTCCGACCAAACAGGCACCAATTAAGCTCGCTTTAGGATCAATGTCTGCGCTGCGCGATACGAAACACGTTGGTGCAATGGCTAGGGGACTGGTGGTTGTTGCTGCGTATTCCACACCTTCTAACAACCGCGAAAAAGGTTCCATGACGAGGTAGTTGGGTGGGTGTACTCGGCTGCTACCCAAACGGGTAAGAAAGTGGGGTGTAACACGTAAGAGGTAGCTGAAACACGGTGCAACGGGGACGATTATTTGAGAAGAGGGTGCGAATTGAATATTCACGGTGTATCCCATGATTTCCTCGTTGGTTATCATCCCATTGACGAGATCGTCAACTGAATCATAGTCGAAGTTATCCTAGAAGAATAAAAAACAAGAACTCCCAACGAAAGACAATCGCGTTCCTCCACCTTGAAGTAATTAAACCAACCTGAAAGAGAGGGGGAATGTGGGAACTACAGATGAGAACACGAGTGTCGAGTAGGTCGGATCGGATAGAGATTACGTTTTTCGCTTTGGCCGCAGCAAAAACAGCCTCAGTAGCAAAAATCGCAGGCATTTCACGGTTGTGACGAGACACCTGTATTACTTTCATGTCAGGACTTGTGTGAACAACGGTGCAACGTACATCTTCTGGGGATGAGAAGGGCGGCAGTGTGGTATAAATGAGATCGATTGCCAGCGAACTGGATTTCTTCCGACGCTCCTTGAAATCATTAAGAAGAGCGATCAAAGAAACATCAGAAACAAGGTCGGCAGGAAGACAGACAAATTCTTCAACCCCTCGAAGCAGCTGATTGCACTCAATATCACGCATTGCTTCGCCCAAACATCGACTGCCATTGCCATTGAAAACTACGATTTTCAAAAGGGGGAAACGTCTGGTGTAGCAGCTTGCGTCGACGAATTTCTGTATTTTTTGGGCGTCACGGCACGCGTAGATTATAATGTTTCGAAAACCATCTCTGATCAGGCAGGAGATGGAAATGTGGAGGAGGGGGACATTAGCAAGGGGTAGTAACGAATGAGGTACCCACTTAGTGATTGGTTCAAACCTCTCCGCCACATCCTCAGCAATAATTACGGCAGTTAAAGGTACTTCCTCCTCCTTGAAAGCTGGAACATTAGTCTTTAAAGGTGCCTTCTTCCCCTTGGGTGGCATGTACGATCTATAAAAGCGAATTTGCTGCTAAGTAATCACCTAGGAAAGGAATTAAAGAAGACGTTTTTGTCGGCTTATCAAACGCCTGGCACATCAAAAGCAAATGATAAACTCATTATCGCTAAAGAAAAAACACCACGAACAGACAGGTGCGCACAACAAAGCTGCCAATATATGTTACTTAAAAAAAGACGAACCCTACTTGCGGAGGAACAGACTACTTTGTGCTAACAAAATACAGTATCCGAAAATAAATCTAGACAAATACAAGACCCCCCACGAGCCAACCGAACATCCAAAGATCGCGCCTTATGCATGTGCTTACAAAATCCTTTTATTCTTATTCTGTCTCGTGAAAAAATAGCTGAGTCAGGGTTTTTAATAGCATTTTATAAATAGTGGAAGTGTAAAAATGTCTTGTGCTTTTTTTTAGACAAAGCAACCACCAATAATACATCTAATGTCTTTAAGTAATTCTCAGTAATGTAAAATGACACGAACTGCAAAAAAGTAATTTTATAGCAAAAATTTAATCTTTAAAAGCTAAAATTTTGTGCATATTGTTTTTTAACTCCACTTAAGCTAATGTTTCTGCAGCTCCCCAAGAATTTGCTGAAGATGATAGGAAATATAATGTTCGGGCGGAATATATGTACTCGGCATAAGGAAGGTATTTAGGCTACGAACATGGCTTGGAGGCCAGCCCACCCAGTGATGTACAACGGCCAAGACAAAAAAGGTCCTTTACCAAAACGGAGAGTTAAGCAATCAATGAATAACATTTCATACCAAGTTAGCGAGAATGCAAGCAAATTAATATTAAAACTCAACAATCCTAGGCAATCTCGGATTCTTTAAAACCTCTTTAAAGACGGATAAGACACAGCGCATAGTGATTTGCATGTATATTTGCCAAAGAGTAGGGCTTAGTACTACTTTTATTGCTAAAGGTTACAAAACATCATATCACAATTTCTTGTCACATTTATGCATATATAGGACGAGACTCGTAGAACCTCTCTTCCCTGGCCCTCATACTCTTAGGACACCTAGGTAGATTCGGTTTTGTCATGTACATTGGGTAGGGTTCAGGGAGGTGCGGACGCGGAACCTTTTCCCCGGTTGTTGGACGTTGACTCCTCAGTCACGAGGTTCAGCTCATGTGCCCAAATCCTCTCTGAGAGGAGCGTTTAAGCATCATAAGTATTACACACATATATAAAGTGAAATAATAATTTTTTCGTTTTGACTCAGGTTAAGCATTTTTGTCAAAATATTTGTTGCATTGACTACAAAAAATTTGTTTAATCAACGGTTAATTAATTTGCGTAGCATTCTATTAATTTAAAATCACTGTAATTTACTGAGCAGCAATTTTGCCACCTAAATCTCATATTTGATTAAGAAATTGTATTTGATCTCTGTTACCGCATCTTCGTAGGGTAAACTGGACTCCGGACAATTCCAGTGTCACCAGGCCCCGCTGTTTGCCAAAAAATATTTTGAGGCGCCATAACGGTAGGATCAAAAATGAACATGGAAAAAGCCTTCGCAGGGCGGAAGATTCGCATACGTTACAAGTAGGAGAATCAGCAATGACCAATGAAAGAAGGGATGAAAACAACGCCTAGCTTTGACAGCTGTTCCAGTCTTGTTTTTGCAGAAAAGCTATTAACACCGGTGGCAGCACGACATCTTATACATTTAAAGGGTTAGCTAGCTATATGCTCACCATACCTGTATTTTAGTGCAAAAATATAACGAAACGCAGTAAGCTGTGCAGTTCTATACTACCCGGATAGAACCCGGATGGCTGCGGCTGAGCACCTATAAGGTGAGAACAATGTAATAAATGGAAATGGACATAAAACTTTATCCGCACAGACATATGTTCATTTTCGTTCTTTGTTATGCGGCTCTGCATCTGGGCCAGTGCCCTCGGACAGGCGATGGATATGCGTGATGACTAGTTTTTTCCCCGTCCTCTAATCCAGTTCCCACAAAGGACAAAACTCTGCATTTACTAATGTTGGCAAAAGAGAAAGTAACGCTCCTTCCCCAACAAAACCTTTATTGCAAGCAAAGTTGGTGACGGCTGGCTCGCGTTTATTTTCCTCACAGCATGGGTCATGTTGTGGGTAAGAATGTTGAACAAAGTAGGAAAATTATGAATTACATTATGCCTTGGTTTAATTTACGGTTTTAATTAAGAGTTTCGAAGCACTACAGATTTTTTTTGCCAAATGTGCCGATTATTTGCTTGGCTTTTATTGGACAACAATAACTAATTGAAACTAATATATATATGTAATACGATAGTGGTTTACCCCTCGGTTCTGGTGAGGCGCCACTCTTGCACTTCGAATTAGCCCCATGTACCTCGCTGGGTGGGCTGGTTTTTTGGGCCATGCCAATAGCCCAGATACCTTCTCCGTGCTGAATATATATATTCTGCCCGAGTATTGTGCCTTCTTTTGTCTTAAGGGAGTCTCGGGACGCTACATATACACTTACTAATTTTTATCACATGGCACTAACTGTTTTAGGTGTTTTGTTTCATTTAGGACAGGATTTTTTAAAAAATATAAAAAAGTAATCAAGTATTTTTGAGGACGTAAAATGTCTAGGATGCTTTGCAAATGTTAAACTTCGATCATCCGTTATTAATATTATTTACATGAGTTAGATTTTCTGCATAAATAGTCCATGATACGTCACCCTAAAAATTGTTTTATCCCACTGAATAGATTTGAGGGTGTCTGCTTTCGACGGCGCCACAATTGTGCTTTGGTGGTCCGTTGGTTCTCTTGATCTTTGTTCATTTTTCGCGTTCTGCTGAGAGAGGCAGTCATCCGGGTTTTTGTTTGAGTTAAATAGACACCTTGCATTACTACTCTGACATTATGCCCAAGGTTACTGGTGCAAACGCTTTTGCAGATCTCCAGAATCTTGGGATAATTAGTAATGAAGATCCTACGCAGCTATTCACAAACCTGTCTCAAATAGGGACGGGAAATTTCGGGATAGTTTATCGCGTATGTCCTATTACCAAAATAATCTCTAGGCTACTACGGTTGGGACCGGTGAAGTAGTTGCCATAAAAAAACTGAAGTATGATACAAAGCGAAAAGTTTCCTTGGAAGACTTAAAAGATATGCGGCGGGAGGTAGAATTTATCAAGCGCATCAATCATAAGAATTGTGTTCAATGCCGTGGTTGCTACATAGACCAACAAGTTCCTTGGGTACAGCAGTGTTTTTCTAAACATTTTCGTTGCAGATCGTTATGGAATATTGCCTTGGGTCCGTTGCTGATATTCTCAAAGTTCAAAGGCATCCTCTCAAAGAATGTGAAATTTCGTGCATTGTTAGGGAGGTGCTCACTGGCCTTGTCTACATCCATTCAAGAAATTATATCCACCGTGACATTAAGGCTGCAAACATCTTATTCACAGAAAGCGGTGGGGTGAAAGTTGGTGATTTCGGATCTGTGAGCTTTAAAAGCCCCGCAAATAGCTTTGTTGGAACACCTTATTGGATTGCTCCTGAAGTGATCCTAGCCATGGAAAATGGTCTTTATGACTGTCGTGTTGATGTGTGGTCTTTGGGAATCACCTGTATAGAAATGGGTGGGTTAATTTGGCATGGATTAGTTTTGTATTCCCTATTTTTAAACTTATTTGCCGATTGTATGCTTGATTTAGCGGAACTGAAGCCGCCATACATGGAATGCGCCAATACAATGGCAGCTCTCTACCAGATAGCATTGAATCCCGCTCCCACTCTGCGAGAAGCTAACTGGACCTCAGACTTCTATGAATTCGTGGATTTTGTTCTCAAGAAGAACGTGAGTAATGCTGCTCCTTTGTACTATGTAAAGCCTCTTTCAGGTGCTTGAGTCGAGTGCAGTGGTGTAAGGTTTCGTCTTTTATTAGTTTTAATGACGTCATCCTGCACTCTTGTGTGTGTGCAGAGGTGTTTTTTCTTGCTATGCATCTGTGTGTGAATGAGTGCGCACTCAAATGTAGCAGCCTGGAAGAAACGTGTTGACTCTCAGCGTTGTCATTTGATGAATAATTTGTTAGGGCGGCAATTATGCTTAATCTTCTTGGTCTTAAAGCCTAGTCGCGCTCCTTTTTTGACCACTTGAGGTCAAGGCAAATAAAGTGCCTGAATAATGGAAGTATTGAATTTGGAGGGTGGCTTTTTTGGAAGTGGGCGCGTCTCATGTGTATGTGTGAGTCAAGTGTGGGATTATACTATCTTATAATTCCGGCTCATTTTATCCAGTTTTGCAATGCTCTTCTTGTTTTTCATCCAGTATGCATACACAAGGAATGTTTGCACAATTTGCGCTATTGTTAGTGCATGCGTTCGCACATGAACACTCCAGGTTTGTTTCTCTGTATGTGTGCTCACGCGTTTTTGTGGAGCTAATTATTCGAAAGAAAAGTCCTCCCTAATTTTCTCCTCTATTGATCAGTGAGGCAGCACTAGCAGCGAGGTACTTACACAAACCCCGTTTTAAGTGTTTGCGTGGGTGGTGACACCAGAGTCCTCATCTTCTGGGGGGTTGTTTAATTGCTGAGTATTTCCTTCACTGCCTCCAATTTTACCACTGGAGTGGTATGATTGGGTAATATTCCAGGCCTCAGCCCTCTCCAATTTTGTTCACTAGTGTGAAAGTTAACTTACTCTTTCCATCCACCAAGCCTTGAATCGAGAGGGTACTAGTTTACGTGTTTTAGCATGAGTCAATGTGTCACCTAAGTAAAGGGTAATTTGGTGTTGGAAATGTGCAGATTGATACAATTCTTCACAGGTCCCCTGCCACCCCTTCCACCCGGACTTCATCATTATTAGCAAATGCTACGAACAACAGCAGCATCAGATGTTGAATAAATCGGGAATGAACTAATGAATGCATGCGGTTCTATGTGCGTGCGTACGTGTCTCTCCTTTTGCGCCAGTATGCATGTGTGTATGTGTATGTGTGTCAGTGTCTTCCTGTCTGCTTTCCCGCTTGCTTATCTAGCTATGCGTACGTGTGTTGTGCAAGTCCTAGTACCGTTTAACGTCGCTGTTTCTCGCTTCATCTCGCCCTTTGTTTTTATTTCGTTCAATCTACTTTCACCGCCTTGTGTGCAAATTGGTCATTTTTTAATTTCATCATCTACTTCAACAAAGTACTATAAAACTGATGGTAAACCGAGTCACTTTGGTATTGAAATCACCCTATTGGTTATACCAACGAATATCGGTCAGCTGTTCGGATTTGAGGCGCCACATATCGGAGACATTACTGAGGGTCGTGGAATTAGTTAATGCTAGAATGTAGTTAATAAGGATAATCAGTGTGAGAAGGGGCGCGCTAGTTATGAAACCATGTTGGTGATTTGTGCAGTTTTGAGGAGTATTTAATCTCTTCCTCATCGCTTGACTCTGACATAGTCAGCATGATGAAAGTTCGGAGGTTGACGACCATACAATGCCTCCTCTCCATTATAATTCATGTCAGAAAAGGGTAGATGCAAGCTGCTTATCTGACCTATTCATTTCAAATCCTTCTAGAATGGACTTACTGGTTTGGTCATTCATTCAATTTCGCCCACCAGTTTACTTGTGTCGTGTCTATTTTGACTCCATCTCTTGCTACCGCCAGATCACACATTATTTGAGGCGGATTTATCCATTGTTTTCTTCCATACAATTGCTTTGAGCTCGTCGTCATGGTCCACTTTGTGTCGGTTCGTTTTTTTTGCGTAGAATATGACTCGTTTGTTGATCAGGACTGCTAAATTGCTAGAGAGAACTCACATCATCCACATACTAGCAACCAACCCTCTCACAGACCAGCAAATACAGCTGTTTTTTTGTTCTCACGTGACCATTATGCTGTTTTATTTCTGCACTTTAAAGCAATCTGCAAATCTAGACATTTAACGGTCGATTATTATGTAATTTCAAGCCTGAGGAGCGCCCAACTTCGGCCAAGGCTTTGAACCATCGTTTCTGTACGTCCATTCGAAACCCCACCCAAATACTGCACGATCTTGTTCAACGCGGGATGGCCAACGCTACAGAGGGTAACCAAGTTCGTTCGAAGTTTAAAAAAGTCCACGAGAACAGCACCGACAGCGGTGGCGGTGGTGACGCTCCCGTAGATTCACCGGCCCGCAATGGGGCTGTGCATCGTCGCCTACAGCAACGGGACAGCTACGACAGGGAGAGCCAATCTACTGCTGATGGTGCTGTAAGTTGCGTATTTATCCGCCCATCCCTCCTCTATCCTCCCTTTTGAATATCTGATCTCCCCATTTAAATAGTGTGTGCGTGTGCGTGTATGCCTCACCTTTTACCTCCCTTCCTCTTTCTCTCCTCCCATCTGCAGATTATGCAATTAGTGATGGAGATACGTCACCATACACAGAAGGGGTAGGTCTCAGGTCCCCATCCTCCATAACACTTTCCTCTCCTTTCTCTCCCTTCCCCTTTTCACCCATCCAAATACGCGCGAGGGCTAGGCCTACTATTGCTCTGTCTGGCTGGTTGGTGTCTGTTTGCGTCTCGAGTATCCTCCTCTCCTCTCCCCTCCCCTCCCCAGTTCTAATAGCCAGCATCCTCATGTAGCTGTTTTTTTCCGATTTATTTAATAGCATAACTTGGAATTTGGCGCTAACACTTGTGGCCTCTCTTTCCCGAAAGTTGACTCTACGTGTATCGGATCGATCCTGCTAGAGTCTTCCGCACTATACCACTATGTTTTATGGTTTCTGCGAAGCCTCTTTATTACGTTGAATGTGTAGAGCCGATTTGGCTTTTTGATCCCACTAACCTTAAGGAGTTTCACGCATTTTTTTGAGGCCTTTGTGTGATTACTGGTGCTCTGTGGAGCTGATTCATGCAAAGTACGTGGTGGTTAGTATCTAAAACTGCCTGTTAAACTTAATCTACTAATTTGAACTCACCATTACACGTACATGTGATGTATTCTTTGTCACTTTATGGGTGATTGACTCAGTTGAATTGTGTGCCCCAGACAAATTGCTTGGGCTTAAGACAATAAAATGCGGCTGAGGATATTCTACTTATGTGTAGTAATTGAGCGATCACTGTCACTTTATACCACCGTGAGTCAGCGGTTCCGAATCGTCTAGGTCTTGTGGATATGCGATTTCACATCTCATAACTTATGCTAAAGGTGAATTCCAACCTTTGTGGGCATGATTTACTTGAGATCAGAGGATGAATTGGCTAGGCCCTCTATGCTTCACAAAATTAGCTTTGATGAGTTTAGTTGGCGGATGCTTGGAGAGTTAAGTAAAGCGGAGGTTTGCTGTTCGTCCAATTTGACGCGTAAATAGTTATGGAAGTAAAAATGTAGTAGAATTCGCATTTGCTTCCTTTTACTTCAAAAGCCTTGTGTGTAGGTAGATGTGCTTGAAACTGAGGTCTTTAAAATTAGAACGACCAACTGATGGTCCCCATTTGGCTACTTTTTAGCAAAGACATAGATAGATCGGATATATATCTCTCCACGCAGTCAATCACTTGCTCCTGAGTGAGAAAAAGTTGTGAAGTGTGTTCCTTTGCAAGCCTAGAAAGCTATTCTCTGTTGATCGATGTAGTAGGAACACAGACTACACTTCGGAATAGCTAACTCTCACGCCGGTTAATTTGCTCCGAAAATGGACCTTCCTCCTTTGATTGGCTCATTAACGCCCCACTTTCTCTTTCTGTTTTTGCTGTGGACAGACGGAGAGCACTTCCAACAGTCTTAGAAGTGGCCTATCGGGATGCTCATCAACCAGCCTTCCCGTCCCCCTCCCGCAAGCCAGCAAGACCGGCAGTGCAGCGTCGGAGACTCACTACGAATGCCTTGGCGAAGGTCTCCCAAGTGAGGGTGGCAGAGTCAGAGACGGAAGTAAGGTCCGCGAATCAACGACGGCCACCGGTGGCGCCAAGACCGACATTGCTGAGATCGAGGACTCAGTCAGTGCCAGCCACCCAAATCCTCCCCAGTTCGTCCTCGGTGAGCCTGACAGACGGGGAGGTGTTGGTGGTGGAGGAGGCCGAGGTGGTGCGACCGAGGACGGTCAAGTATGTTTTTCGTCCCTTCTTCCTCTTGTTTTTTTTTTACCTCTGAAGCTACTGAAATGGGGAATTTTGTTTTGGGGAGCGATAGTCGAAATTTGTAAACCACTTTGAAACGAGTTAATTTGCGATCGCTGAACTAACTGAAAGACGTCTAACTCATGTTTCACTGAGTGAGAATGGTAAATTTAACCTAAGGTGATTAGATTTTACTCCACGGTTCATCTTCACAAACGCTGTGGGATAATCGAGTCTGGCGGTGGCTTTTTTGGTCAACTTACTGAAGGGTTGGCGACTGATAGCAGAGCTTTATTCCACCGTCTTGGAGGCTGATCAATAGCTCCCGTTTTGTTTTGATCTTTCTCGTCGCTTACAATGATTATTGCATCACACTCTGGTTTTCGTCACACCTGGAAGATTCACGGATCCAACGATGGTGTTGCATCTCGTTTTCAGCTGCAGCAAGATCTTCCGCATCGGGAAGAGGTCATATCTCAGTGCATCTGAGCTTAAAAACTTGTTTAAGTACGAAAAACTGCTTTTCATTCCGTAGACTTTTGTCGCAACACTGTAGCTCCCTCACCTACACCTATTCGCTCATCTGCTTGGTGCTGTCATCAGAATCCTTTGATACAAGATTTTTCTAGGCGCTCAAATTTAAAAAAAGCCTTTTAACCAGTTCCTTTTATCGTCGGGTTTGATACATTCACCTCTACAAATTATAAATGAATTGAGATGGGGTATTTGTCGAGAGCGATGTCGTTTTGATAACCACCCATCTTGTTGTGTGTTCCTTCAGGTCCACTTATCCACATGTATCTTTTTACGTAGCAATTAAACAATAGATTGAGACGTGATCCTTCTTCAAGGTATCACTGGAAGTTATCCCGTTTTTCAGGAGTGTTAGACGGTCTTATGCATATCCTACCACGCTGCCACCGCTATGCCACCAGATGCTTGTAAGCTGAGGGCTCTCGGCTGTAGTATTCTTATCTCCAGGGGCGGTTCCACCTTTAATTCGTCGTTAAACTTGAATTAATGGGTCACATTTTTGTCTGTCAACTTTGTCTACTAAAGTTGGTTTGGTGCTATTCCACCTGTGGGTTACGCCCATGCGCGGTGTGCCCGAGCATGCATGGTTGAAGGCTTCCAGTCAATCGGAGACTGAGCAGACTCATCAGTCATCCATAAGCTGCCAAACTGTCACCTTTATGTGACGCTGCATTCAAACAGCCCGGCTCAACAAATAATTTCCGAAATGTCATATCAATGTGCTAAAGTCGAGGTCATTTTACCATCCCTTATGGGACCCATCCGGTCTGCTTGTCATATGTCCAGTGTGGAACAAAGTGTATGATAAATGTGCAAAAGCCTTGGAAAGCTGTGGCTGTGACTGTGCCACCAAGGAGGATTCACCCACGGCGACCGAGGACCATTAATTGACCACACATTCATGTCCAATATGACTCCTTGACCATCTATCATCCATCCATGCGGATTCTTTCCATCAAAAGCTTTAGAGACGCTGTATCTAACCCTCCTCCCAGTTTATTCATCTGCCGCCGATTTGATAAGGCGTAATCCTTATTTAAAACATCAACGACACAGATTAAGTGGCTCCTGCGTAGAGCCAGTCATTCACAGTTTATACCTGCCTTTAGTATCGTCTACCGTTTGCTATCGTCAACGCCGACATCAGTGTTGCACTCGAGTCTCCCTTGGTGACAGGTCTGGAATTAGCATCTCCCTTAAGCTAAGCGACAAATGGATGGAATTCATTGCGTCAGGGTAGATCCTGCCATGTTTTGAGCGTTTTCCTTGGCGACCATCGTGGTTCTTTTTCTATGTCAGGCACAAAACAGTGTTTGAATACTTCAAGAACAACCACGATATAGGAACGGAAAAATTTGTCCACTTTCATGGTGATGTTGTTGATAAATTGTGTCGAGAGGCTCTGATCTGAGAGAATTTCTTTAACATCCGGCACTAACGGAGAACAGCTGCTGGTTAACGGTGGGTTTACGCTCTTTCTCCGTTAGGGAGATCGTGGCCCAATGGGAGCGGCTATTAGCGCCGACACGCGGATGAATGGAGCCGATTCCAGCTATGCTAATATCCATCCTTCCATAACAACCGGTGGTGGTGGTGGTGCTATTCTTTCCGCTCCTCAACCCCTTCTTGAACAGTTCGCAAATCAGGCACAGGCACATCCCCTTCCCGACCCTCCCGCCTTCCTTCATCACCTCTCGAGTGAGTTCTATGTTCCCTGGAAATCTGGCCTCTTCCACTGTGACATTAAGATCCTAATCCGTCCACCTTCCAGCTGACGCCACCCCAAGTCCCTGGAGTATCCCACCTCAAGTGGAAGGCTCTCCCGTCCCTCTTCAATCCTCCGTTTCCACTTCAGCAACACCATCTCCGACTCAGCCTATCTTTGGTGATCATCGTCGTGAACCCATTCGTCCCACCGTGCGATCGAACGCTAGCAGACAGCAATCACAACAACAGCAGCAGAACTTCCCAACTCTCAAGACGCAACGCATGATGCGAGCCGCTCCTTCTGCTGCCATTATGCTTGGTGAATGCGGTGGCGCCTCCGGCGGCACTGGAGGTGGTGGTGGTAGTAGTAGCCAATCGGATGTCAACGCAGCTGCCGCCGATGGGGATGTCTGTTTGGATGCCATCTACTCCTTTGGCGCGCTGAAACGTTTGTGCGCGAGGCATATGAAGAAGCTGGAGCAGGAAAAACATCGGCTTAATGCAAGTTGATTAGTGCTTTAAAGGATTTCAAACAATATTTTTGTTTCCATGTTGGTCGTGGCTACTAATAGTTCCATGCAGTCATCATGCAAGTCATTTTGGGTGGCCGGAGCGTCGGTCTAGTTAAATGTTATCCGTTTTAGGAGATCGAACATGCAAAGATGGCAGAGTTAAACCGAGAATACAGCAACTTCATCGGCGCCAAAAAGAAGACGTTGTGTCGGATGCAAGCGCAGCATGTGAGTGAAGTTGACCGTTTGTTGAAACGCGACGCCGAGGAGGAGGCACGCTGTGTGCGTCATCTGGAGATGCATGGGAAGGAGCAGCTAAAGAATGAACGAAAGAGTCGTCTGCGGCCAAAGAACATGGCTGTTGATGGCGGTAATTCACCCTACAACGACATGCACGCCGTACAGCTAGAATTGGACCTCCTCTACAAGCAAATTCAGTCGAGTAATAACTTCAAGCTGTATCAGTGGAAATACCAAAAGTTGCGCAGTAGATATAAACTCCAGGTACGTTCTCACTTCAATGACGGTTTGTGAAATGCTAGACGAGTTCTCTTTCTCAATGAAAAAAAAGTCCCCTGGCGTTGGAATGCTGAATCGATGCATGACTTACCATTTTACGTTTCCTTTCCCATTGGGCTAAGTGCTTCACTGATAGACAACTGTAGCCTCGCTCCTAGTTCGCTTTTAATAGGCGCCTGGTAGTTGGAATAGTTAGAACAACAAAAACCGCCCTGGGCCATTCAAGGTAACGCTGCATAAGCATAATCGAAGTTGGAGATTGAAGGCCGAACGAGAGCTTTTGCCTGCTGCTGTGGCAGTGCAAAACTCAGCAGTAGTAGCAGATGGTAGACGATAGGTAGGTGCACAAATGCAGCTGAGGACTACGTCGAGAAGTGGGTGCAGTTTTTGGTCCATGGCTGTTGCCCAGGGTGTCGCAGGTTAGTGTACCCCCAATGGCATGTCTCCTGCTGCTATGCTTCAGGTAGAGCAGTTCAAGGATCGGAAGGACCTGGAGACCCGAATGTTGGATGAGAAGTCTGAATTGGTGCTGCGTCAGCAAGACCAAGTGGAAGCAATGGAAATGGCCAATCTGCATGCGAAGCATCAGTTGCAGAGTCGACATTTGGAGGAAAAGTGCGCTTTCTTTGACACCGAGCAAAAGCGCTTTGAGGACCTCAAGATGGCGGAGTTTGAGAAGGAGGCGAGGAATCAACGCAAGATGCTCGCCAAAGAGGTGAAGGTTAGTCAATCAGGCAATCAGCCCCTCAGTTTTTTAGTCCGTATAACTTTGTTCTCCCAATCCGTTTATGTATGTGACCATTCATGCCAACTCCGTCAATCGCTTCTCTGTATTCATTCATCTGGCATCAAATCACCTTTCCTTGTAGCAATATGAGGAGACACTACGGCCGCAGAAAAAAGGCGCAGGGTGGCTTCTCAATCTCAAGAAGGCCACTGCTGTATCGTCTCCCCAGCTGCAAGAGCCCTCCTCACCGGAGGACAAAAGCAAGGCGGCAGCGGCGCCTCCGAATAACCCGCCCCTTCTTACAGTCGGAAAGAGCAAATTGCTCTTGGAGGAGTTCCGTCGAAAGAGAACAGTGAGCCGTCTGGTTGACTGTTTATCTCTAATCCCCTACCACAGTTTATGCATGCCGAGGTTCCATGGGTATTCAAGCATTCCTGTTCAATTCGTCCTCCTAGCATCCTACCCGTCTGTCCACTCTGTATCAATCCATCCACCCGTCCCATTCATTCCTCCCGCATGTCATCCATCCATCCATCCATCCACCCCGTATCCCTCTGTCCCTCCATTTATGCATCCAATACCGTTTTCTTCCAATCCCTAATCTTTACGTTCTTGCATGTCTATAATTTATCCATCTGGGATCAATCCAGTTGTTCCAATTCGTTTCAGTTATCCATCCTTGGTGCAGGCATTCACCTCTTCCATCAATTCGTCCATCTATGCACAAGCTAACTAACTAGCTATCTGTCTGCTCCCATGATTCTCCCTCCATCGACTCAATTAGTCGTTTCATCAAATAGTCCGATGCATCCAATGTACAGAAATGCGTCTATCATTGGCTAGCTGTTATTTACTATCCCCGTTTCCTATTAACTAAGCTCCGTTGAAAGGTCAAGTGATGGCCAGTTGTTCATCCACCTCTTCAAATGCGGCATTTTGTCTCGCCTGTTTTTTTTTGCTGGACTAAATTCAAGTGCTTTTTTCCTGCGCTTTCCTCACAGGCGTTTATTGTCAGGACACTGCCTCACTGTTTGTTTGCAGTCATCTTCGAACTATAGCCGGAGGGTAGTATCACTTCTCCGATCCTCCCCTTTAAATCTCTCCCCTTTTGTTCGTTTTTACTCAAACTATGTGTCGAGATGTGAGGTAAAAGTTCACTGCCCGACTTGTTGCACTAGTGTGTTGAACGTGCAGGCCACATCACTCTTAGAGGCAGATGCAATTTGGAGAGGGCACTGGTCACGGCTAGGAGGTTATCCTTTCTTTACTTTAGTGTTGCGTAAAACATTGCAATACTACAGCGGGGGTGGTGCATCCATCCATCCATCCATCATCATCATCATCATCATCACCCAATCTGGAGTTCTTTTATTTGACCCACCTTATGGGTGTGCTATTCTCAATGCCAAAAAATTGGTACGAGATGGTGGGTTGTTCTGTTTATTTTTCCGTCCTCAAACTTGCATCCACCGTGGCATACAAGGGAGCTTCAAACCCCCTGATTGGCTTGACAGGGTGGAAATTCTTTCTTACCTGACAGTCAACTGATGTAAAAGTTGATAGTTCTACGTGTTCTTGACCTTGGAATAAAAAAAAATCAACGCACAGACACCAGATATCATGCGGTTGTATCCATTCTAGTCTGGGAGTGCAAAAGCCTGAATTGACATTGGTCATTCCTGCTTTGTTTTTGTAGGAAGAACTTGAGGAGAAGCTTGCTCATGAGTGTAGCAAGTTGAACGAAAGAATGCGCCAACTGCGTGAGCAGATGCACAGCTACCAGGATCGTCTGGCGCGTGATTTTCGGGCCCAGTGTGATCAAGAGAAAGCTGAGCTCAGCGGACGCATCAAAGCTCGCGCCGAGCAACTCGAAGAGGCGGTAAGTCTGTCGGCAAGCCTGGTTCTCTGTTGGCGTGGTGGTGCTTTGAGTGTCTTGAGTTGACTTGTGTGGAAAGGGCGTGGGACTTGGGAAGTGGGCTTTCGGAAGGAGTAGAAGATTCGTCCCATATACCTTTGCAAGATTTATTCGCAGAGGACTGCAAATTCCAACGACATGAGTGAGAGGATATTAACTACGTCGAAGCCTATTCCCGACTTGCTTACTCACCACTTTCAGTGGAACTTGGTGGTCTCAGACAGAATCATAGCTGACCAGAGGACTGCTTTCTCCTTAAGAATCGTCTTCCATTACATTTGGATGATCTCCAACTGAAAATTTGTCGATCCTATTCAAACAAGTGGAATAAAAAATCTCCGTCATCTTGTAGATCGAGTCGAACAAAAAGGTGGTGCTGGAAGGCCACAATCAGGAGGAGCGTAAACTGGACAGCTACTTTGCCGACCTGCAACGTAACCTGGAAAATGATTGCCAATTCCTTGGCGTGGACTTTCAGGCTGTTCGTCTTAGTGTGGAGGCGGGCGTCGTCGCAGAAGGGGTGCGCTCGAGCTACCACTAGCGTCTTTCGTCTCCTCTCTTTCGTACCCTCTTCAATCCTCCCTCTCTTTGTACATGGATCTTGTTTGTGGATCTGATACTGCTGTTATTTACTACTACCAGTCGCCTCATCCCTCTCTCCGCTCAAATCACTTCCACCACCGCTAATGCCACAGGCGTCACAATCGTCCCGACAATAATAGTGACGTTTTGATGATGACGATGACGTTTCTGTATTAATTTAAACAATTTATAACTTCCTTTCCTCTCCCCTTACTTGCCTGATGTTTAGCGTTTGCTGTGTTTCTCCAGTCCCCATTCCTCATCCCTTTCTGCCTGTCCGTTTGTCAGTTGAGAGAACTAACCATGATGCCTGTGCCCCCGTGCTTTAGAGACCGCACACGCGTTCCCCAACACTCCAAACTGTACAAAATTGCCCTCCTATTCTTTGTCCCTGTCTCTATGTATTGATTCAATTGGGGTGGTTCAGGTTTTCCAGTCTTTCAATGCTTTGTATCGGTTGCATTGCCTGGCGCCCGTGGTGTTGGCGCGGAACTCTGCCGTCACGGGTTATCCGCATTCGAAGTTTTAGACCCCTCTGTACTCCGTGCCCTTATTTGTTTCCGTGGCATAGTTTGTTGGCGTCACGCAATGGATTACGTCTTCGTATCATCGGGATTGGATGGGACACCGAGGCACCTGGTGGTTCCATGTTCTCCAAGATATGCCTGAAGAAATTGACCACATAGGAGAAGAGACAAGGTCTGAGGTCTTCACAAGCTCAATCAGTACGCCTGTACTAACGAGTTTGCATTACCTGAGGAAGGCCCTCAGCGATTGGGCCACTTCAATATACGGGCAGAGGGTGCTACAGGCAAGAGAGTAGGCATCGCCATCCTGGGTCTTTTAACACCTACAGTGGGGGGAAGGTGGTATGGCCTTTCACTGCTAAAGCATTCACCACAATAGTCGATGCAGAATACCCAAAGATTTGTGGGACAGAAGCGGTTGCTTCTGCTTTCTTCAGGGGGTGATATATGTCAATGTCCGAATTCTTAAAGCTGTGTATAGCGACCAAAGTGCCGAATTTGAGAGTCTACTTTTTATAATACTAAGCAAACCTTCCCAAGTCTTTAGGACGCACATGACACCCTTTCACCCATAGGGTGATAGGTTGAAAGGAAGAATTGTTTTAATTGCCTGAGGATTTGAATGAAGATGTCCAGCTGTGGGACTGGAATCTACGTTTCGGTCTGCGCCTCTCTAAGTATAAGGCAAACAATCCACCTCTATTACCATTTCATCGGTTAAAGTGAATACCAGATGCAAAATTAGTGTATCAACTGACATTTTATGCCAAGCGTGAAAGTATGAACTCACGAGGCGTCAGAGCCCACAAAAGACCAAAAATTAAAGATAAGACAGATTATTGGGCTTGTGTGTGTACATGTAGGCTTTGCCTATGCCAAAAAGCCGTCAAATTTTTCTCTACTATCGTAATTGGCTTTGACGACGAAACTATGAAAACGCAAAGCATGGCGTCTTTACACTGCCTTGGATACTGTAAATTGCAATTTGTATGCTTTAAGCAGTAACATCTGGACTTTTGATCACACTTTTAAAGCAGAAAAGTTGTTTTAACTATTGCACCTGGCCCGGCGTTCCTTCGGTCTTGCGGGGCTTGAATTGTCGGATTGAGAAGTCGCAGTGCTTAATGTCGATTGTATTACCAAAATATCATGGATGTGTCAGAAGTTTTTGATTCGGAGATAGGAAACAAGTCCTTTAAAAACTTTTCTACTCTCCAAGAACTCCTTTCCGGATTTAGTCGGGTGAGTTAGTATACTTTTATTGTTTTTCCTAGTCGTTTTTTTTTCCTGAAATATGCTGGTATTGTTGGCTACTTTACTGTCTAAGGGAATTTAAAGGCAATGGATCCAACTATATGCATATCTGATGCTATATTTTGAACTGTTCACTGGTAGCACTACGGAGTGAAGTATAAGGTTTCGAATTCCCTACGCTACAACGATGGAGATCCACGCAAACGGACTCTCGTCTACACGATGGCAGTATTTTCCTGCGTCCTAAAGCGCGCTCACCAGTGTCCTTCTTCCTTTCGTATCGAGGTTCGAAAGGGAGCACTCCAAATTGTAAATCGGATGATGCAACACAACCACGGAAAGATCGCAGGCGACCCTGAACCTGGTATGCCATCGAAAATTGAGTCCAGCTGTTTTCTTTAGTTGTCGACCTTACAGAACAGTTCAATGCCCACTTTCTTAATGCAAAACTCACCTCCTTCGCCATTGTCATGGCCAAAGTGAAGGCTTTCGAAGAGGCCACAGGAAGTGAGTTTCGAGTTGGACGCTCTGATCTATTCAAAGCGGGAGAAAAAGAGAAGGAGGTTTACCGCTATCGGCGCATTACCTATGAGTGTATTCACTATGGTCAGCGTAAAAGCTTGGCGCGATGTGCCTCCAGCACAGCCACGCCTGGCACCGGCACTGCTCGTCTCGGCTGCATGGCCAAGTTCGATGTTCGCTACGCCCCAGAAGGATTCAAAATCAGTGCCGTAGTGATGAAGCACAATCACGAGGTGTCGCCTGTAGCAACGGCTGCTGCTGGAAGGTTTTGTCGGAGGAAGACGACTCAGTATCATCAGAGGCGGTGTCTTGAAGGCGAGGCAGGGTAATTTCAGTCACTGTTTGATTCCTTTTTGTTTTGCTTGAGGAGTTGCTTCACTATTATGTTTGCAAACAAGACGGGAATGGTATAAGGTAATTAAAAGTTCATGATGTGCATTAGAAATAAACTTAGCTTTTTGCGCTGAAGCCCATGCTTGGAAATCTAACTTCTCTAGAAGGCATACGTCTGATGATTGCTGAGAGAATGTGTTAAATATGGTTTCATTCTGTATGACGGATGAGTTTTAGTATTGTCTCGTAAGAATGGGAATGAGGTTTCCTTTTCTTTGCTTTTAGGGGAGAAATTATTTTTCTTGCTCACATTGAGTTGTGTAGAGTGGAATATAACAGTTAGATTTCAACCGCAGTTATTGTTTGACCCTTAACAAGCGAACGTTTGCGTCTACAGTGCACTATACACCTATTCTTCGGTGAGTGGGGCGGTGCTGCCTTAGACTTGGTTATAGCGAGTTGATTATTTAGAAATAACCGATAATATGCTTGTTGGACAGGGTGTCTTTTCCTCCCACAGTGATCCACCTAAATTGGAGAATCAGATTGTGTAGAGCGTTTCATTCTGGGTGAAACTTTATCCTGCTACTGCTTCTTCAGCATTTTTTAAACCGAGTTAAATCCGTCGCGTAAAGAAGACAAGCTTGAGTCATGTATACTTTAACGGGCAGGATAGACTGCCCCTGTAGGTGCTGCATATTCACCGCCAACTATGCCGAAAATCGCAGGAACCTGTTTGATCTTTCGATGGTTTTTGGGAGAACTGTTTTCCTCTGTGTTGTCTACTCGATTTTTCAGATATTTCTAATTCACTCGCACCATTTGAAATGGAGTGATTGCCATATTTGTCGCCTTTTTCACCCCAGGTGTACTTACGTTCATCCGTCCATCTTGGATGCATCTATCCTGCTATCCAATTTATCTGTCCATCTCTTCTGCACTCACCCACTAATCCATCCAAAAGTGATTAGATCGTCAACTCACGTATCATTTCTTCCCACTCATTCACCCATCCCACATTCATTCATGCATAGTTTTTTGTCACTCCAGGGCCCAGAATCATCACTGAAGACTTTGTAGACATCACAGATTCATCCAGTTGAATCAAGTTTCTCCATCCACTCCTACTCATCTTCGTACACAACTATCCGCTTCGAATCCACTTAATTGTTCCCCATTCCCCAATCTTGTGTTAGTCTTCACTCTGGAGGGACACACTGCTCGTTTGCAAGACTTTTCGGCTTACCAGACAAAAGTGGACACAGGAAATGTTCTGACACTGCTGTTTTTTTGCTTAAAAGAGTTCAGCTTTTCCTAGTGTATGGATTTTTTTTTATTTTTAGTGTGAATGGTGAGTCAAAAAAGGCCACTCAGCCTGATAGAGACCAAACGTGAGTCAGTCCAAACCATTTTTGCTTGTTACTTTGAAGACTTGACCGAAATTGAATGGGCTAGTAATAACCCCTAATTTCTTAATTCAGATTCAATGATCATTGCGATGGGTCTTCCAAACCATCTCCATCCAGCGGCGTTTCCAAGTGAGTTAAATCGAGACAAGAGATCTTTTGTGGGATTTTAGGGCATCATATCAGTCGCTTTCTCCCTTTACTCCACCCAGTGGCAGTTCACAAAAGCAGCAGTCAGAAGGAGAAGACGAAAAGTATTCCGCTTCAACAAAGGCGTCAGATGATCCCTCCCTTCCTCCTCCCCCTCCTTCTCCCGTTCTTCCACTCCTTTCACGGCGTGTGGAAGTTACCAAGACCCCGGCCGCTCCTCAACCTTATTGGATCACAAATCCTGCTAGTGAGTTCATTGAACGTTAATACTGAATGCTGGATACTTTTCGTGATTTTGAAAGGTCTACTTGCCGCTTTTCAGCCCTCCTGACCAACAGTCTCCCACTAGAACATCCCAAGAAACCCGGACAAGTTGGACCCAGTACTGGTTCTGACACCCCTCGAGAGTTAAGTCAATCGGAGAGACGTCTTCTGCTCTCCGGAAAGATGCAACGGGTGCTGGACAAGGCTTGTCATGGTGATGCGAAGCGGTTTCGAGAGTGTAACTCACTCCTTGATGACTTGGAGCGATGCTGGGCTAAGGAGGACTCGATGGTGTGAAATGACTTCCACGTCATTGTCTCACCTCCAGGTCTTTCAGTCGACCCCGCATCGTAGCCCTTTAAAGCCTCTTCTCCTTGGTCCATGTAAATAGTTGTAGCGAGTTTGATGTGTGTGCGTGTGTGTGTGTGTAAGATCCTGGCCTGCATCGCGCTTCTTTTGAGGTGGTGGGGCACTGGGCTCGTCGATGTTGGTGCGTTGTTCTGGTGGCGCGCTTTGAGTGCTCTGTTAAGTGTGAGCGTGGTGGAGTTTCTTTGTAACAGTTACGTGGCGTAACTGGTTATTCGGTCATTGCTGTTTACGGACTAATTTGGTTTCCTGGGAATACTAACTGTTTTCAGAAGTATTTCTTATTTGACTTCCATAATGCAGCAAAACATTTGATGTAATGAATTGTTTATTTGAGCTAAGTTCCTTGCTAATGACCTTGTGTTTTACAAGCGATTTCGATACCATGTTATGAAGTCACCAGTTGGTGTCGGGGGTTTGGCGGCCTCATTGATAATTTGATCACAGTCCCATAACCGCGGAAGATTCATTTCCAATGCAATTTTTTAATAGGTCGCTTCAATAAATAGTTGAATCTTAGTTCTCATTTGGTGATTTCTGCTGTCTATAGGAGTTTTCATCGTCCCAAGCGTGCATTTTACTTCCCCCGGCTTAGTTCGCAAACAGGTTGTTTATTCGGGTTGTCTCGTAAGCAGGTAAAATATAGGATTTATACCGTGCACCACCGCTCAATTATTTTCTCGACGTCATGTCGGACTGCTTGCTCAAACGCGTTCCACGTGTGTTCAAAAGATCGTCCCATTATCTCTCCACCATCTCGTCATATGGTAGCGTTGAAAGAAGCACCCCTTCTGAAATTTTGCGTCAGCAAAATGAAAGGATTGACACCAAGTACCCTTGTCTCCCAGAGGCTGAGCGATTCCATAGAAAATACGCGAACTTGGAGGAAATCGCCAAAAGTATGGTCTGTTAACGCATTCGTATTGATTTTCAGCTGTTCCTGTGATGAAATCCGTCCCCGTTGACGCGATTTTTGCAAATCGTGAAGTCAGGCTTGGCGAATTAGATGTTTATGGTTTTGATTACGACTATACCCTTGTGAATTACACAAACGATCTAGCTGATCTCATCTTTAACAAGGCCATCGACCTTCTTGTCTCCAAATGGAAGGTTTGTTTGTTTTTTTACCAAAAAATATATCTTCGCTACTAGTATCCAAGTGAACTTCGAGAGGTGGCGTACGATCCCACTTTCCTTATTCGTGGATTACATTATGATATCAAAAAAGTAAGATTGGTGCTTCACTTTTGTATCCTGCCTCTTTCCCGTTTTTGCTGAATTTCACGAGTTTGTGCGTTGAAAACTCTTAGGGCTTCATAATGAAAGTAGATGCCTACCGAAACATTCAGCCTGGAACGGTATACAAAGGTTTGCAACCAGTTCCCGCTGAGGTAGTTCAGTCGACCTATAATGGGCTATATATCCCCACTGGTTTGCTCAGAGGCTCTGTTCACACAAAGGTGAGGCTGTGTCCACTCACTGAATGATTGCTAATTGGGGCCTTGCTTTATTTGTCCTCGTGTGCTGTAAAGGGGTATTAAAGGTTTACTTTCCTTCTGCTTTGGTCTCTCTGCTCGCACCCCCACCTATTTCTCTCCCTCCTCCATAGCCTTAAAAGTAATTTTGGGAGAAATAAACGGGATGCATGGGCACTCAATCATCTACGATTCTATCTAGCCGGACATGCTTTTCTGTGCTCTATTTATCTCGGGTCTGTTCACCCATCCCTCTATCCGTTTTTCTATTTTGTACCTTGACCCGCATGCCCGCTTATAAATAGCTTTGAAACAATTTAAGTCCGTTTCACTTGTTACAAAACCGTTCGTCCATGTTCCTTGCATCATTCCATCCATTCATTTATTTTCTAATCCCGCATGCATTTGTCTTCTTCAGTTACGTCTTCCGATTCATCTATTCATCCATCGCTTCCCTTCTTATCCACTCAGTCCAGATGCACATGCCAAGCAATCTGGCCATATTGCTATCTTTGACTACCTACATACATTTTGCTCGTTTCTTCGTTCAACCATCTGCCTGGATAACTCTCCATCGGATTTCCCCATTTTAGGATCACAAAATAACACAGATGATGGACTTCTTTGATCTCCCTGCTGCGTACGCCGTTTGTTCGGTGATTGAGGTGGAATGAAGCCAGTACTACTACCTCAAATCAATGTAAAGTGGTGGTGGCTAAATCCCTCTTTTTCTCTTCTTCTAGCATTTTGAAAAATCCGGTATTAACTATCAACCCGAGTGCATTTACACGGATGTAAGGGTATGTTTTAGTAAATTATTTGCTTACATTATGCACAATGCCCTGTGTGCTATTGGCGAACTTCTACTTCAACGCTTATTAGCTGGTTGATTTGATTAGGTGTAACAATGAAAAAAGCGGGTCGTGAATACGTCCCCAAATTTCACCGAATATTTACTCCTAGATTTTGAATGTAGTAAACGCCAATTTCAATCCCAAACATTTATTTTCTAATACTTTTTCCCAAGCCTTCATTCTTGGATTTGATGTGAGTACTTTTATTTCCGATTCGCAACCGATCAAAATTAATTGCCACCGTGTCATCTATTGTTTATTGTCAAATCTAATCCAATCCGTCACGATCTTCTGAGGCCAAACTCAGTTCAGTCTCTAAGGCATCGTGAAAGCAAAGTTACGACCCCAAGATTGATGAAATTGTTGCGTCTCACGGTTCCACTTTAATCGAAGATAGTGTTACAAGCGTGTGTTTTGGTGATTGACTTGTAAATTGAAAGTGAAACATTCTATGCGTGAGTGATGAGGCCTTTTGGCATAAAAACAGGCGCCTTTTTTTCACATCGAATCAGATTTCTGAGCCAATCAGCATCAGGGGCGAATTAGCCAATGGGATTCATGTTTAACTTCTCGCTGAAAGTGCCTACTGATAATGTTCGGTTTCTTGCAGGAAGCTGTGGAGCTTATTCACAGGTCTGGAATGCTTCACAGCACCATATGCGATGACCTGGGTGCGTGCTTGGTCTGCCTAAATAACTCCACAAGTTCCCTTATTTTGAAGGAAAGTACCTCACTCCTCGCTTCCATGTCTCTTGCAGAGCGCTATGTAAAACCAAACCCCGAAATAAGGGATCTGCTGATTCATCTCGCTTCGCATGCAAAGAGCCTCTTCCTCATTTCCAACAGTGGGGCCGACTTCATGTAAATTTTTGGCTATTGGTCGTACGCCACTGAAATCGTTGACACATCGTTCACACATCCTAAGCTGCAAAACTCAAAAGTTTTTCCAAATCTAGAAGTAGTAATGCTTAACGTGTAATCTAGTGGGATTATTAATACCATGTCTAATGAAGGGCTGGGCCCGGACCTGAAAGATTTGCTTTTGAATCATTTTATGCATTGTAGAACCAAAGGCATGCGGTACGTGGTTGGAAGAGGGTGGGAACGCTTCTTCGATGTGATTATTGTAAAGGCAAACAAGCCAGACTTCTTCCGCTCCAATTCAGTGTAGGTTGCTTTGACGTTGCCGCCGCCTTTTGATGCTATTTACAATCGCTACCATTGTCAGTGGCGGCACCACTGCTGCAATCGTAGGCCCGTCATCGGAGTGATGTCTAGGGTATGAAATGTGCACGGGGGTGTTCAAGTCCCCAACCGAGCCTTGATTGGCCAGCTGGCGGATAAGTCTGCCCCATTTCAGGAAGTAGTGATTGGCGCACGTCACCCTCAGTCAATACCGTCAGCACCAGTGGTAGTTCGTGTTCGCACATAGAGCAGAAGACAACCCCTCACCACCCTCTACCGCAAGGATTGAAGCAGGTCCTGGAGATTTAACGCGCTTTATCGCTCTCCTTGCGCCAGGAAACCTGTACTGCCGTTTCACATTACTGTTATGGAAGAGGGTCAAACAATCGGTCACACAGTTAACCAATCTGTACGTCATATAGTCAATAGTCGCTGTAGGGCCTAGTCCACAACCATCGTTGCATTCAAAGGTCTTCTCAGTCGTAGTCAAGAGTCTTGACATTCATGCGAGATTCGTTGTCGCCTTGCAGTTAGTTCCAACTCTACCCTAGTCCTGCATTGTGGCAGACAATGGGAAAGAGAAGTCGTAAACAGGGCACTACGTGTCTGTAGTAACAGGTACCGTTCATCAAGCTAGTAGGCATCCGAGATAGTGCGCTGACGACGAATGAGGGATCATGTCAACGAATACGCAAAACTCGACCTCGTGGATGTCTAATTGTACGGTACATTGATAGCATAACTAGTCGAAGCAAAGCATTTAAGCTGCGTCGTCTCGGAGACAGTCGTACTATTGTAAGTCAATGACGGCTGCGGCCACAGTTCTTCCTTTGGGCGCGGCCGGCGTATCAAACGCGACGCGAAAATCACCGAGGGCTAGTCACCCTGACAGGTAACTCGAACGGTCAGGTCCTCCCAGGATGGTTCGGCTGTACCAACAAATCTTCCCCTTCTTTGCATGCGTCTTCAAAGTCTCCCTCGACTTGAATACCCTTCGCTGGAAGAAATTCCACAGTACCATCAATGCAGTGGCACGAAGACCACACAGTATGGAGAAGTCGTAACTAGATGTCAGGTTTTATCCAGTCGAAGTAGCCAGATTTTAGATGCATGAGGTGTCACTAAACGATGAGGCGGAAGTGTGCTTTTACTCCTTTCAAACGCCATTTTAGGCCATTCCGTGCCATTGATGAGACCGGAGCGTTCAAGAGTTGGGAAGGCGTCACGAAACTTGAACGAGGTCAACTCTATCGCGGGGTTCGTTTCATTTGAACTTAAAGTACTCCCTTTGTCTCGCTTTCACTATTGTTACTACCCGCTTTCCCCCCTTAGGGCAATCTCAATTTGTTGAAGGAGTTAAAAGGTTGGCAGTTACAACGCGTCCTCTACTTTGGCGATCATGTCTACGCTGATCTTGCGGTAAGTAGTGAGTGAGGAAATGCGGCAGTTGTAAACTAGGCTAGAGAAAGAGAAGACTTCTTTTATCCCCTCTTGTTAGAGACACGTTCAGTGAATTGAGAAGAAATAACTAGATAAAAGTATGGGTGGAGGGCTGGATAGGTGGGCAAAAAAGAGGCACAACAAGCAGACAGCACAGCAACTTACCCTATTCTTTGAACTTTTGTCCTTACTCAAGTAGTGGACATGAGAATCCATAAATTGTGCCGTCGTTCCTTTCAAGGCAAGAGAGGATAGTTGTAGCGGTTCACTCGTTTCCTCTCAGCCAATCATTGGTCACTTGTCATTTTCAAGGACGCTTCCAACCAATGGGGATGGGCAGCAGCGGCAGTCATTCCGGAGCTGGAAAACGAGCTCAGTTTGGCCAATACAGAGGACTATCAAAAAAATCTTCATCGTCTGGTGCTGCTGGAGGAGCTGATTATCGAAAATCAGGTGAGTCTCCGGTATGGTCTGCTTGACCTCCACCAACTTCACTAGATGGTGTTGCACATTCGACTCGGTGCTCCAACGGCCATCTGCAGAGGCTCGATCACGACGAAGAAGTCTTTCAGATGCAGCAATTCTTATGGACTAGGCTCTACATTAATGTTGTTCTTGAGTGACCGATTTGTTGATCTGTTGACCGACTGACCTTCTTCCCCTGCAGTACTGCAAAACGGCGGTAGGTCAAGCCGTGCTGACTTCCTGGCGCAAGGAAAGGGATTATCTGCGTCAAATTTCCAAGTCCTGCTTCAATCCTCGTTTTGGCAGTGTTTTTCGCTGTTTCCACAACTACTCCTACTTTGCGCAGCGCCTCGGTCTATACGCGTCGATGTATACTTCGTCAGTGACAAATCTTCTTCACCATCCCATTAACCATATCTGCTATCCGCGGAGAGCCCTCCTGCCACATGAACCACACTAGAAGTTCAGTGGAGTGGAGAGTGTCGAGGGGGCGTCTCTTTGGGTGATAAAGTCGTTGAGATTGTGTGATGTCTTTCGGTTATTAGTAAAATATTTCTTTTTTTCCTTCCGCCTTTTGTTCTCTATCCAAATTGGACCAGGTAGGACTAAAGGAGGGAGGAGGGACCCGAGGGGTTCGAATTACCCCATCAGGTGCGCGTGTTTGGAAGTTATTTTACGTCAAAGTTATGGGAGAGCCGGAGGATGAGCACCTCGGATGACACCCCATCCTCATCGACCTTGGTCTTCCGGTTGATGCCTCTTTGACGTCAGGTATCACAGCTGAGGTCAAGTTGACAGAGAGAGGAGACTGAAGATGAGAAAATTCGGTGGGTATGTCGAAAGCGGTTCTTCCAAAGAATTGTTCGAGTTTATCCAGTAAAAGTGCAAAAGAACGTGGCGTGTCACATATACGTGACGCTTGCTTCTGATAAGTTTATGATTACGAGGTGCAGGATAATCCTGAGAAAAGAGATACTACCTCATCTCCTTCTAACGTCACCTCGTTGCGTTGGACGTGGATGCCCTGAGGTCACCGGGATTGTCAGAAAGAAGTCCAAATGACTTGTTCAACTGGACGATGTGATCTTCATCCTTGCACCAGGAATGTGCTCCGTCTGTGCAACAATGTGCCGTCGTCACATCGACCGACCGTCTGGTGTATGCAGTCGCACTAGTTCGACTAACGGATGGCGCGTGGCGCGTATTCAGGAGAAAGCCGCGGTTTCTCACTTCCACGCAACGCTGAGCACTAGAAGGTTGCTAGCAACGGTTTAACAAGTGGACTGTCTTAATTGTGTGATTGTCGAGACAAGTTTTTTTTTTAATCCACAGGTGCCGCATCGACGCAAGGCGGATTCAGAACATGTCATTGGGTGGAATCTAGACCCTTCCTCCCGCAGCTCGCCGCACCGCACTGCCCTCCGTGATGTAATGAGGGCCTCAGACTTTCCAGTCGGATAAATGACCACGTATTTGAGCAAATTGGCTGTTCGCCAGGGGAAAGCCAGGTGAAGTCATGCCTGTTCCTCCTTATGATGCACGCGAGTGACTGAAGGCGGTCTCTTGAAGTAGTCCCCCCAAACAATGAAACACGTGCCAATTCGATTTGCAATCATTTCCAACTTGTCGCCATCTTCGCCCTTGAAGCGTGTTCTTTTCCCTCCGGAAACAGCTGCCTTCTTAATCCCTTCTGTGGTCATCACGTGATTTGCAAGTGGAAGAGCTGAGGGGAGGTGAGTCACCGCACAAGTTTTGGGCAAATGTCAGGGCTAGACAAGTACCTATATGGAGGTGGAGGTAATGCCCCTCGCCCTTATATCCCAACCTTAAGCCCAAGGCGTTCACGTGGTGCCGCATATGATGTGAGGTTTACCGCCCCACTCACCGAATGGACCAGTTTTGACAATTTCTCCCAAAAAAAGGATTAGAAAAAGGTGTTTTCCATCCTGATGCGAAGTTATATGAGGTAGTGTCAAGTAGGTCAATCACAGCCGTAGTATTTACTGTTACTGTTAGTGCTTGACCTTCAAGAGGCAAAAAATCGAGTCTTCACTGTCCACCACATGCCCATTGCACCGGCACGGTCTTGGTGGACGGCGTGGTGATTGGATCATCTGGAGGCAACCAATGAAACCGCACTCGGTGTCCTGCTCCCGGTAATACCGAAAACTGCAGGACAAAGCGGACATAAAATGTGAGGGCACTAAAAAAAGCTGGGAGAGGAGGGAGTTGAGGTGGTAAGTCTCGATGCAAACCGAGTGCTTTCGACTTGAGAGACAAAGCCTCGTAAAAGCTCGTCATTTTGAAACTTTTTGGAGAACACACAACCCAGCGCAGCAATCTGGAGTTGCGTCAGGGATGTATTTCCGTCAGTTGCCTGCCTTTCGGCATTTTCTTGCCCTATGGGATAGCAGCAACATTCAGAGCTCTTGCCTCCTTAGTGACATGCATTCCACTTGAGGCAACCCTGACAGCGTTTACCACAGGGAGGAACTGCCACGAATTCACATGGCTTCTGACTGGAAGGTCCGATCCACTCATTACACTACGACACCTGTGAATTAAAAAAACTCGTCACGACAATCATCTAGTCAAGACAGTATACAAGTCTCAACTTGTTCCCCTCCCTCGTCAAGTTGAATCGCGTTAGATGGGTGCAGAATGTCACTCCAGTTCTGGCGACATCGGCATACTCAGCATTGCGTAAAAGTGCGAAACTGCGGCCTTCTCCCAAACGTGTGCCACGTGTCATCCATCTGTCGAACTAGTGGAACTGCTTTCACCAGACGGTCAGGGCAAGAGATCGGTCGGTGCGACAACCGAACACCGGTGCACAGACGGAGCACACCCTCCTGGTTCTTGAGCAACACTTGAACAGGTCAGATGGGCTTCTTTCCTACACCTCCGGTGGTCTCAGAGCAGTCGATTCCCATCCATCCATGTCCACTACAAGCAGGTAACGGCGAAGGCCGATCCCTCCACAAACTTTCTCCAGTCCTTCTAACAAGACAAGAGTGTGTTCTCAAGGTAAAACAACATTTTACAATAAGGACAATAGGACGGACAAATTTACTGGCGTGCGTGAACACACAGTCGTCTATGTACACATTATCAATCCATTCAAGCAATATAGACGGTTTCATCATTCCTCCGTTTCTTTGCCGCAAACGTGCCCGGTTTCGTCTGCGCGTCTGGATGGTTGGCCAATTCCGGTGGACAGGTGGATACCGGTGAAGTGATCAGCAGTTGTTTGAGGTCGTAGTAAACTGCGGTGTCGTCCTTGGTGAGGAAGGTGACGGCTATGCCTGACTTGCCTGCACGGCCCGTGCGGCCGATACGGTGAACGTAGTCTGCAGGAGAAATGTGGAAATATCGCGTCTTAAACTAATGAACTTAGAGAAAGCTGAAGAATAGGCTCCACTGACTACCGCAGACATCAGTGATGGAGAGAAAAGTGTCAGGCCCCAAGTTGTCATAGTGACGGCACAACTAGTTTTCTTGCCATCATCTCAAAAACACAAATCCTCCGGTGAATTCGGTCCAAATATACTTGAATGCTCAGGCTCCTCACTCCTCCACGACTAAAACTTTACGGCAGTTGCTGATAATCTTGCAAGCCTTCTAAATCTTGACAATAAACCATCTTCCAGTGGCGACGGTGCGGTGAGATGCGGCCGACACCTTTGAAGGCCTGCAAGAATATAATCGCTTTCACCAGTGCTTCAAGTAATGAGGGGGTCTGAAGACCAAACAACCGTAAAAATTTAAATCCCGCACACCTCCCTTCGGCAAAAGCACTGGAGATTAACCCAACCAGACCTCCAACGCATTGATTAGAGGTTAATGAAGGGCAACAGAAGAGGGAAATCCTAAAGTCAATGCAAAGAACTGCTTTGCCTATTTTGCTTTCAGATGAACGTCCTTACAAAAGTCGACTGACACTTCAAAGCCTACTGCTGTAAAACATCATCCGCCCTTAAAAGATGCGCCTCTACGAGATGCACCACATGGGGGAGTCTGCGTTGGGAAGTCGATTCTGTCCCGCAATTAATTCTAATTCGCCTTAATGCTGATTAATAACGGCTGAAAAAGGCTTCACCAGACGACATCTAAAGCATGACAGATGACAGCGCACTATTTCGGTCACCTAGCCATCACGCAAACCTTCTCACAATCCCCCAAGTTTCCTCCTCTCGAATGCTCTCTACACTGACAACAAAATCATGCAGGCTCGTAAATCATAAACGGACATCGTCAGATAACTCACCGTCGATGGTTTTCGCCATATCATAATTGATCACCATGGAAACATCCTTAATATCAATACCGCGACCGGCCACATCTGTCGCCACAAGAATTTCCTTTTGACCCGATTTGAGACTTGCGAGAGCATACTCACGATGCTCCTGACCCTTTCCACCGTGCAACACCACCGCTGAGTGGCCAAGCTTTTCCAACCCCTTGGCCAACATGTCCGCACCCTTCTTCTGATTCACGAAGATGATCACTGGTGGTTCGATTCCGTCGTTCAGTATCTCCAAGAGCTTTTTGCTGTAATGATACAGAGAAAAATTGGTGCATAGAGAGGTGCCACTTAGCCAGATATAAGTAGAAAGTTTGGTTAAAGAGAGGATGTTTCCCCTTACCGTTTGTCGTTTTCCTGTACCATGTAGACAATCTGTTCAACACGATCTGTAGGTTTACCAGCAGTTCCGACATACACCGTCGCCGGACGCCGAAGATAGGATCTTGCGAGTCGTTCAACCGCTGGCGGCATAGTTGCAGTGAACATGACCGTCTGTCTATACTTCTGCTTGGTGGAGAAATTGGCTAGTAGTTTATCATCTTGTTCGGCTTCCTCTGAGTCCGGCTTCTGGTTGGTTACGGGGAGGTAACTCAAGATGTTATTCACATGGGGTTCAAAGCCCATATCGATCATCTTATCGGCCTCGTCTAGCACCACATAGGTACATTGATTAAGCACAATGTAACGACTCTCCAGGACGTCTACAAGACGACCCGGAGTGCCGATAACAATCTCTGCACCCATACGCAGCTTTAAAGCTTGGTCTTCCTTCGAAATACCTCCGATCACAGCGACAGTCTTGATACCAAGTGGGGCACCGAATTTCACAGTTTCTTCCTCAATCTGTTGAGCTAATTCGCGAGAAGGAGCCATGATCAACGCATAGGGGCCTTGTTCTGTATCTTCCATACGAACTAACTTCGGGAGGGTTTGGATCCACGTCAATAAGGGGACGAGGAAAGCAAGAGTTTTACCCGAACCGGTTTCAGCAATACCAATAATATCACGATTTTGTAGGCCAATAGGGATAGCCTGACGTTGAATTGCCGTCGGTTCAGAGTAGCCTACTTTGTAAATAATTTCCAGAAGATCTTTGTGAATCGCAGACTCCTTCCACGAACGGATCGGGTTGGGCAGGTTTCCACCCTTTGTAGAGATGTTGTAATCCTCTCGAAAGATGCGCCAATCACGATAAGTCATCTCGGAGAGCGATTTCTCAGACCAATGACGATCATCCCACTTCTCTTTCGCTTCGCGTTTAGCCAAACCAGAAAGACGTTTACTAAACAAAGGAGATAAATAATCATCTACCCACAAAGAGACTTACTTTTCCTGCTCCTTTTGTGTATCGGAACGACGACTTTCCAACATTTTAGAGTAAAATTTCCCGATTTCGCGTTTTTGTTGCTAAAATAAACGAATATAAAGTTGACGCATTTAAAACCAACCTTGATATCGATGCCGCCAATATGACCTCTGCCGAAAAATTGGATTTGATGCTTTTCTTTATAAAGAGGGTTGTAGTCTTGACTCGTGTCCTCATTGGCATCCCAATCAAATACGAACTTACGCTCATTAAGGCGGCGTTGACGGCGTTTTGTTAGACGTTTTTGACCCAAATATCGCTCCTTAATGGCCTCTTCTTCTCGGACTTTATCTGCAGCTGACACCTTGTTGACACCGCCGTCTTCAGAGCGTCTATCTCGACCTTTTTCGGGATATCGACGATCCCACTCATCAAGCCGTCTTCGCGATCGGTGCGAATCACGATCGTAACGAGACAGACTGTCTGATTTAGAGGAATCATCCCGGGATTTTGAAAGGTATTCAATTTGTTTACTGAGCTCTTCGGTTGCACGCTTTCTCTGTTCTCGAATAGCCTCCTCACGTCGTTGAAGGGCAATTTTTTCCCTTTCTTCTCGTGAAATGAATTTCGGTTTTGACAGTTCAGCATCCGCAGCTTCTTTCCTTTGTATAAGTTCTTCCAAAGAAACTGGGACCTTGGCGAGAGGATTTACCTCAGACTCCTTTTCTTCCTCTTCAGGCTTGACTTCGGCGGGTTCCAATTTAGGTATTTTTGCTGGTGGTTCACCATTCTCGCGATCTTTCCTATCCTTTTTGAGGCTACACCTAAATAAATATAGAGAAAAAAATATTACGCTTCAGATCGTGGAAATTTGCGACAATCATCCCTGATACCAGGTTTGGCTTTGCTCAACTTGTCTAATGTTTTCGTTGAACCCTTTTCTTCCCTTAGTTTGCGCCGTTCCTCCTTCCTCTTTCTTTTTTCCTCCTTGCGTTGCTTCTTCTCTAGTTTACGCTTCTTCTTTTCTTCTTTGTGCTTGCGGCGTTCTTCATCAGTGCTCTTACTTTTCTTTTTCTTGGGTTTTGGGAATTCTTCAGGATTTTGCACTAATTTGGGAGGAGAAGTTACAAGCTCAGACATATTTCATACATCAAAACGCAGAAGCACAACAACCACGAAAATTCATCAGCGCGCGTACAAGGTGGACCGTTATGAACACATAAAAGAATTAAAAGAGTAAATTTTAACCTAATATTGTTTGAAGATTTAAAATCTAGTAATTGCTTGCAAAATATACATTATTAAAGCGTGTATTCACACGTTACACAAGCGAATACCTATTTTGCAATCTTTTGCATTCTTTTGTTATTGCATGACTTTGGCAAGACAATCTCTGTTGCAACCTCTCTTTTTAAAAGGTTTTTAAAAAAAGCGACACAGTATCACGTTGATACTATGTTATACTTTAAATACACCCCATGATCTTTTTTCAAATAATAAGTAGCAAAATTGGCTACTTCGTACCAGTCTGCAATACATTTTGGGCATATTGCTGTTTCTTCCTTGTCATGTTTCAGCAGTGATTGGTTAAATTATCTCACTTGTGTGGCGCCTGCAGGCTTCCAGGGGGGCTTACGTGCCATTGGCTGGTATTGGCGCACATGCTGCTGAGTGTAGGTGCAATGTGCAGAGCCTCTGTGGCTGATCAGGGAGGGGCTCTGCAGTTTTCAATTATAGATATAGTGCCCTTACTTAAATAGCTCTTTAGAATGCTTACCCCAAATCGCCACAGCATTTTGAGTTCCGCGATGTAAATTATATTTCTCTTCGTCTGCAGCATATCTGCAAAATATGGTCACATTTATACTTACTTGTTCGAACTTTACCACATCAAAGATCCTCTCAGCCTTTATTTGCTAAAATATTTATGTAAATCTGAAATAACTCATGCCTTCTCGTTTTTCGCACAACCAATCATCAAACAAGTCCAAGGACACTTATAAATACCTCGTTCTTTGGTTCATCGCTCAAAAATTATGCCTTTTGGAATCGCTCTGTTTTGGAATTGATTTCAGAGAATGTCTAGCCTCTCAGACGATCTCATTGCGTTTACGGACTCAGAAAATGTGCGTGCAAACTCTCCGAAAACAAGTGTTCTTGAAGAATTTGATCCCCTTTTTGATTTGAAGAAGAAGGATAATGCATTTTCCAAAACCCTACGCCAGCCTCTCAGACGAACCCTACAGCACAATCAGTCTCTAGAAACAAATCAGTCTGTGGATCAGTGCTATCAAACTTGTAACAACAGACTTGGTGGCATATTTGATAAAGATGCTATTTGGGGCGAGCTGGAAGAGTATGCCTTATCTGACAAATTAAGCAAAAAGAGTTCACTTTCACATTCGTCTGCCCTGCCCAACCTGACAACTGTTCGATCAACTTCGAATCCTGAAGTGAAACCACAGGTATTCACTGCACTCTTTCAAGGAATTCGCTTTTAGTATGCCTTTAAATACTTCAATTTTCTGACTAACCTTTGAAGACTTAGATGTATCCTAATTGAATTAGCCTTGGGGGCATTGGTTGGATAGCTACGTGTGGTAAGATCCTAAATCATTTTTTAAAGCTGTTAGTTTGTTTACGTCACTAGCCCCTCATCAACTGCGCCAATGCGACTCGAGGACTAGCGACACCTTGTGTTTTAAATGGTTCAAATCTGCCAAAAGTCACTCATCTCAATTTTTTCATGCTCATCTGTGCACAGTCGCACATGCTAACAGCACATACGATGAATCGAGACTTTGTTAAAGTTCGCCTGCTCTTTTGCACCCATTCTCAAACTGTCTACTAAAGTTTCTTACTTCGGTTTTTTTCTCTTCTAGCAAAAACCTCAGAATTTTTCTCCTCTTCAAGCAAATATTACCATTGATACGAGTCTTCTGAATTTCGCCAAAGCTGTTGAAAAGTGAGTTACATTTTTTTGACACGCCAGATGTTTAAGTGCCTCACCTTCACAGACAACATGAATAAATGCAGATGGACCCCGTTATGATTGACAGACACGATATATTCATTCATGAGAATTAAAAGCCTATGTGGCTTAGACAAAACACTTTTGTGTTAACTCTGTTTCATTCTTCGTCAGTACCAAGTTAAGGTGTGATCTGTTACCACCAGGAAGTCGGGAAAAAATTTCACGAGGTGTTTTTATCTAGGCACACGCTCGAGTCTTCCTAATTTGTGAATAGTAATGAACCCTTCAGGTTTTGAGGGGACGAACTGCTAGCCAGTATTGCACCCCTCTCAGATTTAATTTTCAATCATCTGATTCTTCTCCATCTTACGGTAACACCCTCTTACTGGAATTTGGTGAAGTAAATTAGACGCATCCTACATTTCAGCATGAAGTCTTCTGAAGATGAAGCTCTGTGGGATAAAAAGGTCCTGTTTTATACCTTCTCATGCCGAGTAGAGAAAACGCACTCTGTCAGGTAATGCAACGACGCCTGGTGGATAGTCTTAGCAGTCTTCTCGGCATGAGGTAGTGGGGTGGTGAGCAAACAGACCGTTTGCGTATAGGCGAGCAACACCCGTAGAATTCTGAAGTGCAAAAAGCACAAAAGGCGTGTTGGATTGAAGTGCATGAGAAAAAGGAAGCAAAAATCGGTAGGTTTTGTAGCCTCTCGCCTGTCATCAATTGAGGCATGAGGCTGCCACACATTTGCCCACCGATTCTACACAAATTTCTCTTTTCATTTTGGTGTATGTGCAAAAAGTTGTTGTTGCGTCATCAGTCCATGTTTTTGGCACTCCGATCTCCACGTTGTCGATGGTGAAAGGTTGTTAATGGTAAATCTTCTTTCCTACTTCAACCGGCTCGATGAGACGACAAAGCAGGGGCACACCATTCTCTCTCTTTCTCGAACCCCTCTATAAACTATTCCGATCGCCCAACAACTGTCAGACTTCAGTCTGCTTACCTAGCAGATATAAAATCACCACTCTTATGTCTGACGATGTATATTTGGCCTTCTACGCGAGAAGTCGAAAATGCGTCTGCGCTTTGGGAATAGGACCCGTTATTAGCGTGTAAAAGGTTTGTGGGGGGTCAGACCTTGCCTCTAGAAAGTTGATTTGTCAATCAGGTGTCTAATCCATGGATACTTCTCCTACAGCTGCACACCATGGCTGCCTGGAACGAAGAATACTTTTCCCACTCCCTTTTCCGTGGGCTTGGAGAGTCTGCCAGCACCTCAACCTCCGGTCTCTCTCAATGCCTACATCTTTGATGCCATCTATGGAAGCGCATCAAGCTACTGCCTTCGATATAATATCAAGGATTCACTACACGATGATTGGCACATAAATCCTGGCCTTCTAGTCATCGTTGATCGAATGCCACAGACTGCTTTCGTTGCCGTGCCCGGACCAGATGGATTGGATAATATCGATCTCAAAATCTACATTCCAATGCCCGCCTACTTCTGCAATCGCTACATCGACACCGTGCGCAATTGGTTGAAGGAGAGGATCCAAACCATCTGTGAACGTGAGTCGCCTCACTGCTTTATCAAGCTTGCCATATTTGGGGTGTGGAGAGATGTCCACGGATGCCCACTTCATCATCGCCCTCCAACTCAGGAGGTGCGCCTGTCTCAACTTCCCCATTCACCTCAGTGATTGAATGAATGTGATGTAGACGGATTGATTCGTGGACATGTCGATGAATCTCAGGCTAGCCTGGACGTGTGGACGTGCCTCTTCAACAACCACTTGCCTCCACAGGTTTAATTCATCACGTCTCCTCAACGTGGAAGTGCGACTAGTGCCCTCCACCTCCGTGAAAGTGTAGTCTATCAAGCGTGCTTGAAGTCTAGGCACAGGAAGTAGCAGAGACGACTCATTCCAAAGTATCGATTAGGCTGGAGCAATCGTTGATTGGGTGGTTTAAGTAGGCAACAGGGACCATGTGGGGCATTACGGGAGGTAAAAGAGGGCGATCTTAGACTGATGCTTTATCGCGGAAAGCCATCTGGTCTTCTCTGTCGCCTTCCCCACCGTTCTTGTCTTAATACGGCGGTATTATGTGTACTTTCGTTATTGTATTGTCATTGTTTAATGTGTGCGCTCTGATACCGCCCTCGTCAAACTTATTCTCACCGCAAATGCACATGCACTCTCTCTCTCTCTTTTTGTGTCATAAATTAAATCGGAGAGTAATGATGATCTAGTGGAGAAAAAAAGGGACAGAAGTTATCGTATATCATTGTATGTAGGACTAGTCATTGTCATATCCTCTCTTACTTGACGCAGTTCAAAGATGAATGCGCCACGTGGAGTAGAAACTCCAAATATATCTCAAGCTTGTTGAAAAATATCTAATTTTATAATGTGTTGTCACAGTTGTTTGATTGCTCAACTCTGTGTCGTGGGTGGGATCCTTGAGGGTGGATCCAATACCCTCCTTCTCTTCGCATGACATTTGGCTTTAACTACCAGACCTTCGGCTTCACTTCTGTTTTGTAGAATAAACGCTTCGAGCGCCTCCTGCCTCTCATGGCCAGTGGCGCCACTCCTTTTCGATCCCCTCCTATCATTTTACAGACATCCCTTGGGCAGAGATAGAGGGAGGACAGAAAAACCATAGCCGTACCCATTACCAATTTTTTTTCCCGATTCAGCCACAAAGGTTGTCTCCACACTGGTAAAAGAATGTCTTGAGCGAGCCTACGGTACTGAAAAACCCCTCAAATCCTCTGAGTACTGTCTTCGGATATGTGGACGCACCGATCTTCTGCATCCGTAAGTTTTCCTCCCCTCATCCTCCTCCTCCTCTCTCCCTCCCAACTCCATCTGCTATTTTTCTTAAAAAGAGCACTTTGACTCCTCCTCAGCCTGATTTGTCTAACTGGTATTTGTTAATCCAGAAAACTTACTCATTTTTGCACCAAAAAAGAGATGTACTTACTCACATCATCTCGTGATTTGGTAATTAGAGATGTTGTCTCATATTTTGATGAACTTTTAACACCTGATTTCTTCAGTGACTATCTTAGCTAAATAGTTTCTTTGAAATGGCAAAATTTCCGGACTCTGTTCTGATTGCTTGAGTTATCGATTTGACCTTAAAGCTCAAATTGAATTGGTGGAGGAATTTTTGACTGATTTTTGCCCCCTAGTCATGCCCGACTTTGTGATCATGAGTATATTCGGGACTGCTGTCGAACGGGGTCAACCGCACGTTTAGTTTTGGAGGCCTTCAGTGCACAGGAGTACTTTCTTCCTTCGGTACGGTTGGTAACACCTAATATCCTCCATACCTTACCAATTACCGATGCTTTCATGTTCTCTTTTTCTCCTACGCTAGTATTTTATTCCACCTGGCAAATTGAAATAAATTCTTTTTTAAAAATATTTAATCTAGGTTGAAGACAAGACTCGAAAACTGAATCTTCACACGGCCTACGCTAGTGACACACGTATTCCTGACAAGTAAGCCTCAATATGTCCCATTTTACTGTGAAAGATTACTTCATTATTAGCAACAAACTTCCCTTTTGAACCCCATTGCCAGAGTTTTTTCTTAGCCGCCATTGCGACCCTGTAGGAAAAAAAACTGATTTTTGAATAATCCAATAAGATCATTCTTCTATTAAGTCATGTAGATATTTTAGTTGTTATCTTTTGGAGGGAACCCTGAACAATTTTTGAACAACAAAACTTTTTTGTATGTTTTCAGAGCAATGATCGAAAATTCGGTGATGAAAATAAGCGGTCACATTGAGAACCTCCGGAAACAGGTTTCTAACCTTTCTTTCGTGAGTAAAAGTATTCTCACTATTACCGATTATAAAAATCCTGCTTAAAAGTCATAAAAATACTAGAAGACGTGTTCTAATCAATTTGGATCAGGTCAACCAATCAAACGCGTACATTTCCCAGCCAATCATATTTTCGCAGGCAATGGCCTCCCCGGGGAACGGGACTGGAGAGGATAAAATCAGTTTTTTGTCCACTCAGTTGCCTTTGCAAACTGTTTCCCCTTTATTGGCTTTTACAGAGTACTATCAATGCCACAGGCCACACTTGTGAGATGATCCGAAAGGCAGTGGTGGATCATATTTCGGGGATATGTCATGGCACAGCAATCAACACCCTGCCTGAGGCTATGGCGGCCGTACAAAACAGTCTCTACAACCTCATGTTGAGCAGAAAACCTCGGGTGAGAGCTTGAGAACTAAATGAATTAATAAGAGATCCAAATTCTACTATGAACATCACAGTCTGAATTTACTGGATGATCCATTCGCTGTTTCATCTTAACCTTCGTGAAATTAACCCTCAAAGTCTTCCGTAACTGTCTTTTTTGTGCCTTAAGAAACAGCAAATTTTACACCAGCAGCCCTTGTCGCCAAGGCACAGCACGGGGGACAATTGGGAGGAGGTGGTAATGGAGAAGTTGACCATTTTGGAGATGCAGGTGATTAGGCAGACGATAGCCTTCTTAAAGTGGAAACAGGCCTGGTATCCGGAATTGCGGCTGGCCACCGTTCTTCCCGCTCCACGTGCGTTTTGATTGGCTTTTTTGTCATCGTCTAGAATCTGTCACACTCTTTTAACATTTTTGGAGGGCTTAGGTCTATTAAAATACCCGAATCCATAGCCATAACAAAATCTGTGGTAACACGGAAAATTATTTAAAAATGACTAAATATACTGGTTTAGAAGTCGTAGTCATTTCAACAGTATCTCAGCTAATCATTTGTAAGCCCAGAGATCGGGACGACTCCACCAATCATGGTGGAGAAAGAAGAAAAGCAGTGTTTATCATTTTTTTTTACTTGTTTATGTTATCATAGGTTGGAATAGGAATTAGAATGAGCGTTAAGGGAAAGGTTCTAGCCTTGTCACAATGTGAGGATGTCTGTGTTTGGAAGTTTTCTGTAAAGTGTGTGCAATTGGTAGGGCATTTCTAGGCCAATTAACAGGAATACTTAAGTTCTTTCAGTCCAAGTGGGCGTAGTTTGTTCGAAAATCCCACACGTAGGGGATCGGCGCGTTTTTGGGGGATTTGTTCCGAAACACAGACTCGTAGAAGACATTTGGCCACCTATTTTAAGTGATATAAAGCGGTCGCATGTAGTATGGGATGATTTCCAAAGTCTGTGGTCTATTACTTTTTTTCGGAGATGCTGCTGTGTAGGCGGTTTGGTTTATCTTTTTAACCAATGAAAATCGTCCACCTGCTTGCTCACCTCCCCCGCCATCGCCACTTCGACCAATCAACTCCCGCCCGTCGTAATTGTCTCATCGAAGAAATTCCTGAGCATTTTTTGGCCTTCCTCTCATAAATGTGACCTCTCCTTTGAGATATACACTAGTCATACGTGAGTAAATAGTCACCCAAAGTTGTCCCGTACTTGGGTCTGTTTTATGCCCGTCCATGACATTGATTCATTCAGTGGAAATTTTTTTTTCAGCGATACTGTAAAAATCATTTTCATCCGCTAAGTCGACGAGTAAATTAAACCCAAAACAACCGTGAGCTTTCACCAGGCAGTACTTTTACCGGCGCAACTTCTTCGCCGGTGATAAATTGACCACGTTGCCTGAGGGCTATACCCAAAAAACAAAGTAGGGTCTAAAGGGCACCCAGCTTGAATTCCATGACTCATACATCAGGAGTCCATCAGCAACCTTGAGTTTTCCCCTAATATCCTAAAGCTATGTCAGCCTAGTTGTAGACGCTGGCATTCCCGATATTTACTGATCAAAATAGTAGACTTGACGTAATCTGGAGAATTCGCAGCCTTCACCACAGCCATGGGCGTTACCGTGTAGCAGACTTCTAGAAAGTGTCGCCACTTGACAGCCAAATTTCGTCACACGTTAGCGCAAAACACGAGCACTGAGGTGCCTTCAAGAGTGAATGATGAAGGTCGTCCTCTGTCCAACTACATTCCACTGGAGAGTGTCATCTTGTAAACAAAGGTGTTTACACATGGATGATTCTAAGGCGAGTCTGCACTTCTACTGGACACACTGGTGACAACAAAGGCATCATGTGAATGCCACCGTATCTGATAGGGCCGTCGGCCTTTGAGAAAAGAGCGCCAGTCGCCACACCGAGGTGGAGATGGACGTGGCAATGTGGTGGGTGAAGGTATGCAACACCGGCAAAGTGGCATCTTAAAAAGCGGATGTTAGGAGGTCAAGGGAGATAAAAGTGGCTAAGGCGGACGAATAGGATAGCCTTCCTCGATGGGGCATCTGTCTAAAACCCCACCTCTTCTAGGTTCTGTAACGCCCCACATCGTCCCATTCCCCTTTAAAACATCCCAAAAAACTGTTGCGCCGTCTAATCGATAATTTGGAAGGAGTCGTCTGCTACTTTCGATGCCTAGACTTCAAGCACGTTTGACAGATTACACCTTAATGGAGGTGAGGGGTATTTGGCGCACCTCTACATTCACGAGACAAGATGGAGGCAGGTGGAGGCAGGCGACAGTTGAGGAGGCACGTCCACACATCTGCATGTCCACGGGGCAATTCATCCATTCACCTCACATTCATCCATTTCCTTAGATGAAGGCAGATGACAGCCTAAGTGTTCTGATGGCAGTTCAATTGGTATTGGCGTGGATAGACGTGCGCATTCCAATCACGGTAAGATGGCTGAAGCAATGAAGGGCGACTCACATTCGCAGTTGGTTTGGGTCCTCTTCTTCAATTTATCACGCACGGTGTCATTGTAGCGATTGCAGAAGTAGGCAGGCATTGGAATGTGGATTTTGAGGTTGATATTTTCCAATCCACCTGGTCCGGGCACTGCAGCAAAAGCGTCTCGATCAACGATCGGTAGGTACTTGTCCTAAATGGACAAACCAACGGGCAGCAGCATTCCGATAGCGTGGGATGGACGGCTAAGGGATGAGTGAATGGATTGTGGCTGTTTGAGTGATAAAAACTCACTTGTTTTCTTCCTCATTTTTCTCCTCCATTTTAGCAGTATTGGGAAATGAGATGGAATGCGAACGACTTCTGGGCTGTCAGATGTCGATGCAAAGGGAGTGCCATCGCATGTCTAAGTGTGACATGCCCTTTGTCATGCGTATTGGCAGTGTGATCGATCCCGCTGATCATTCAGATCCCTGGAACCTCTCTGAGCGTTTGGGGTAAGTGTAGTTATGCACGTAATCTATTTGATAGTTAATGTTGCCTGATGGTGGGTGGATTTATGGATGGTTTTGGGAGGGGGAGGTGTGTTGATAAATGGTAATATAATCGGTTGAACCGATTAATGGAGGGATCTACAGGTGGCTGGAAAGGTGCATAACTATTCAGGTGAATGGATGGGTTAATTGATGCCAGAACCTATCCGTGGGGAACTTTTCCTTCCAGTGCCGGTAGCTGTGTTCGTGTTCACGTGATTCTGACCTACGCCGGACGACCATTATCCACTATTTATACATCACCTCTAAATCCGGCTTATCCGAGGGGCTCTAAGGGCTGTGTGGATTATGCCTGCACCACACCAGTACTCCGCGACTTCCACTACTCCCGTAAGGCCGATTTTAACTCGGGTGGAAAGATCGACGAATGGATTCGTTTCTTGGGTAAATTACACCACCCCACCTTCTACGACACCCATCAACTTATCATCATCTCCATCGACCTTCCTGCCCTCTTTAGACTTCCCTTTTCGACGCCTGCCAAGGGAAACGCTACTTAATGTCAGTCTCATTGCCTTGAAGAAGCAAACTGAAGACCCTTCTATACGTGGGTTGACTTTCTCCTAAATTTCTTCGCTTCAATGATCGCTAATACATGAGTTTCATTTAATCACCCTTTAATTAAGGAATTTTATGACTTTTTATCTCAATAACCGCCTACGCCAAGTGACCTTGAAACACCCAATCAGATTTGTGGAAGCAATCTTGCTTCAGCCACTAGGAGACGGGAGCCTTTCCATAAGGATTCTCAACTAATCTTATTTCCTTATTTCAAAGGACAATTTTTACACTCTTAGTGAGCAACGGAACCCTTCTTGGCTGGGTGAATGTTCCTATATTCGACGCCAATGGACGTCTGCGACAAGAGGTCGTTCTTGCCGGCCTTTGGCCTCCAGTGGCGGAGGGCCTCTCCCCGGAGTTTCGGTCCACCTTTGCAGAGCCCAATCGAAGCCGTACCGCTGTTGTTATTGAAGTAGGGGCTTCTAACAATTGCCTATCTTTTTTCTTCATCTCCCACGTTAATGTGCCGCCACTTTGAACATTTTCCAGCTAGAATTCCCCATCTATGCATCGGACTTTTTCTTCCCCAAGCCACCGATTGCCGATGATCTTGATACGTAAGTAAAAAGACTACTCGTAATTCCTTTTCAAAAATCAGGCATTTTGTGCCCTTTTTTTCCATCCAAGTGGTCAAGCAGGCATATTCGATGTGGAAAAACGCCATTACATTGAGTTGGCCAGTCAAATTCTCTACACACCAGCCTCACTGCTTCCACCGGCTGGACGTCGACTGACAGATGCGATTGGAGAGCCCAAGTTCACCACCTTCTTGGCGGATTTGAGTCAACATCAATTGTTTATAGACCAACTTTGGCAACACCGTTATCGGCTTGTCGCTTCATCGGAACTCCTAACAACTCTCCTTGTTGCAGCTCCTGTCTGTTGGCCGGAGGCCTGTCGACGTGCCTCCCAACCAACCAAAAAAAGTGCTCACGACAAAATTTTGTGGATGTTCTTGCTCTCTCAGCTCTATAGGTAGGCGTTTCCTGTGATTAATCCTAGAGCTTTTTGATTGGCTGAAAGAGGGTGCCCTGGACACTGCCTTCTAGGGCCAGTACATGAAAGGGTGTTCAAGTTAAGTCGGAAATTGAGTTTCTGTGAGTAATTGACGCTATATGATTGGTTTAAACCTCTTCCAGCCTGATACAACTCTCAACCCCGCTTTCACCAGCAGCTGCACTGCGTCTTCTCCTGCCTGATGTTGCCGACCAATTTTTCCGGCATTGGGCAGTTAGTTGTATATCCCAATTTCCTCCAGACGGTCTCATCTGTTACCTTCCTTGTCTTCTGGAGGTTAGCAATCCTGCCAACACACTCTTCCGGCCGAATAGATGGCTTCTAAATTGCCTTACTCATTTATTTCCAGGCGGTTAACTATGACCTCTACTTAGACTGGTCGGGTCTGGTCAGCCTCCTTCTTCATCGTTCAACGGTGTCTCTGCGGTTCTGCAATGCACTCTACTGGTAGGATCTCTTCTTTCAGCCTCAAACGCCTCCTCTTTAGGAGCATCGAGAGTATGCTTATGAGCCCCAAGTGGTACAGTCAACGTCGATTACTTCTGCTGAGGACGGCTATCGTGTGGTTGCATGGCAGTCGTCTAGAGGCCACATGGAGTCTGCAAGCAGATGTGTTGGCCCGTATACGTCAAACCGGTAAGTCTATTGCAAACAAACAAGCCTGATTGTTTATGCGCACGTTCTCTCTCCTTTTTATTTACACGAGTCACGATGCCTGTGGCTGTAATTTGTTCAATCTCTCGGATCTAGCTGAAGCTGTAAAAGTGGCAAAGGACAAAACGAAGTATCGGACATTGCAAGAGGGCCTGGAGTCCATACAAAACTTTCTCGACTCCCGATTCAAGCCGAAGGAATTGGAGGAGGGTGCATCATCACCACCAAGTGTTTGGTTGCGTTCGCCACCAAATGTGCCCGATCTCCCAACTCCGGATGCTTTTCGACTGCCCTATGATTTTGGTTTCGCTTGTCGAAGTTTTAAGGTGCGTGAATGAACAGTTTCTGATGCACACCTCTGATTGGTTGCTTCAAGGTCATGCGGGTGAACAACTGGAACAGCCTTTTTGTGCGGCTGATTCCAAGGTCATTTGCAGTATTAAATTTAAAATGATTATTTTAAGTCCCGTGAGGGTCCCTCCCGCGAAATTTTATTATGTAAAAGTCCAAGTAGATGCGTGTTTCGTAATGCAATTATCCTTCCATGAGGAAGGAAAATAACATCATGCGAGACGAGGAGCATGCGAGTTAGCCTGTCGCACCATTGACAAGATAAGAGCGTGTCGATTTATCGCCAACACAACGTCAACGCTAAATTGCATCCACCGTGTGGTGTCTGGAATTCCATACACTTTGGAGTCTACAATGGAGACATGTGACATCATGGCGCCGCTCAAGACGAAGTGTTCCTCATATTACCATTCGCTAGTCATCCTAGTCAATTAGTGGAACACCGACTTTAAACTAGCTCCACCGAGGGGCCACCTAATGTTCCATATGGGTTACTTAGAGAAGTGGCGGAATCGTAATCCCTTCATGTAAGCAAGACAGGCCACTCTGTAAATGGCTACTTCAAATTCCCCACTTGTTGACTGTCAAGCTATATTTACCTCTTCTTTAGACAGGGGCATGCTCATACATCACCTCTTTCACGTGCCCAATTCGCCTCACCCTAAGCGGTATCGATGGAGAAATGCGTAAATGTATCTTCAAGGTTAGTGTGACACCAGTTTTCCCTTTTTATGAGTCAGACATTAAACCAATCAAATCATCGCATTTTCTGAGCGATATGATGATTAGCCAATCAAATGGCGGGAAGCGGTGGGTACACCAATCACTATCTGCTCAATTAGAATTCCCTTTTTTCTTCAAAACTATCGTTAAAAATAAGAAGTCTTTTTCCCTTAGGGTTTTGACTTATGTACGCCGGTGGCAACCACTGTTGCTACGGCGAATCGTGTTACTGCAAGCAGATAAACATGGGTTGACCTTATGACCTTTCATCGCTTAATGGGGCTGTATCGCGTATTATAAACACTTCCAATCCTTTGGTAAAGATACTATTGATCGATTAAAAAGAACAACGTGAAAGGCAGTAGATCCCTCGTTTAGTCGATGATTGGTTGGAATAGCGGCGTAGTTCAAATCCGATAGATGGATGAATGTGTCGCCAGGTTCCTTCCACGCCGAAATGTCTACGAAGCACACTGCATCTAGGCATTTGGACTCGTGGTTTCCGTCCATTTATCTATCCCGTATTACATTCACACATCCGTCCATCACTAGGTCGGTGATGATCTCCAGATGGATCTGCTGATTTGCCAATTGATTCACGTAGCGGATAGAATTTGGATGAACGGAGGAATGGATCTGTGCATCCCACACTTTACTGTAATGCCCACGGAGCCGAAGCGCGGACTCATTGAACCTGTAAGACTGTCCATTACCATGGTGTTCCTTTGACATCACGAATTAGCTTCCATCTGTTCGTGGCACGCTTTATTGCGACCACAGACCTCCGTCACATATATGTGACGCAGGTGGTGAATGTATTGAATCGCCTTTCCTTTGTAGGTGCCAGACTCCGAGACACTCAGACTAATTAATCAAAGCAGTGCTTCAAATCCGCGTTGCAAACGCGACCAAGGGTTGTTGATGTGGCTTCACGAAAACAATTCTAACGATAAGGATCGTCAAAAGGTTTGTCCTCTGACATCCTCCTTGTGGTACCTTCTAATCGCCCTTTGAGAGGTTGAAGAGGTGTCCTGCTTAGGCGGATGGATGCATAGATGTCTGGGTCAAAGATGGTTGAATGACTTAAAACAGAGGGCCAATCGACCAACTCCCCTCCTTCTTCCCTTTCCAGGCAGTGCACAACTTTTGCCATTCCACAGTTGCCGGCTCTGTGTTAACCTTCGTACTGGGTCTGGGAGATCGCCACAACGACAACATTATGATGCGCGAAAATGGTCAAAGCTTCCACATCGACTTTGCCAAAGTCTTCGGCAACTTTCAAAAGATCCTCAGTTTCAATCGGTGTGTTGAGTAGCAATGGGGTGGACGAGGTGTTTACAACAAAGTTAAAATCTTTTTTACCTCTCAATTTCACGGCTGTCTCCATTTTCTTCTACACAGTGATCGATCGCCCTTCATTCTCACGCCGGATATGGTGGAGGTGGTAAAATCTGCTGAACCGCCGTCTTCATCATCGCGCGAAAAGGAAGACTTGCCAAAGGAACTGGTTGATATTCCCTCCTTTGTGCGACACTGTTGTCAGGCCTATAACCTCCTTCGCAAATACACCTTCTCAATCATGGGTATCATGGAGATGGTGCGTTAAGGCGGTTCTATCGCCCTCTCCCTCTCTGATGGGGGGTTATGCCTCTAAAATCCCGGAAAACCGAGGTGCCTGCAATCTGTTAAATAGCGCCCTACTCCCTTTTCTTATCCAGCCTTGCGCCGCTGAGCACAACATCAGTGATGCATCGGTGTCCCTTACAATGCATCCACAGGTTTGACAACCAGTCAAAGGTGTCAGGACAGTTGTTGTTTTAGGAATCGGGTTTGTCTGTCACTGCCACGCATACAGCGCTCAGTGCAAGGCGCAGAGAAGGGTTAGAGGGCCAGGCTGAAGAGCTCGCATACACTCGTCTACTGACTTTCCCTTCTTTTCCAGGCTTGGCAGATGCAACTGCCCGGACTGGAACGTGGGCAAATTGGACACGTCTATGGAAATCTTCGTCGATCCATTAGTGATGCCGAAGCGGAGACCTTTTTCAAAGAGTAGGAGCCTCAATGATAATGACTCACCTCTCCTTTCTGATAGGCTAATTCAGCGGAGTATCCAATCCTACACGGCTCAGCTCAACAACATGATCCATGATAAGGTACAAAGGAGCAAGAAACAACCAAGCACTCCAGAGCCTTCGGAGAGTCGTTACGTAGGCTACGTAGCCCAGGGCGTGTACTTGCATCTGCAATCAAACAAATTCTCACCAACAAGCAATACGCAACCTGAAATGTGAGTCCTCTTCGGATTGGTGTATTTGACCTGACCCTACTTCTCATTGGCTACTTGTTAATGATTAAAAGTGCTAAGTGGAATACGCGGCTGGCTTTGATAGACGCGTGAGACATATGACATTGACACTTTACATCACCGGCATGGAGGTCGAATCGCATGCAGCATGTCATACGACGTGAGTTCGTGTCAAGGCGGAGCCATTAATTTTGTGATCTTTGCTTTATTTCCTACCGTGTCAGTGCAATGCGTGACCCCGCCTCCATTAGTCGGTCCACTCATCATGTGTTCATCAAGATCAAGTGATCTGACAGTTGGCATGGTGACGGGAGGCTGAGCCACTCAAAAGTAGGACCCCTTCATGGTATCAGCTTTTGAAGGCGACGATGACAACGGCCGCAGATTAAGCATTCCTATGGTACTTCGCCCCACAGATAAGTCAAGACGATCATCAAATCAATGAGAGGGCACGATTTCGTCGTCGGCGACAAAGCGAATCAGAGGCCTTCAGGATGGTTCAATTAAATACTTCCCAGTCCTCAGAATCCACTTAAAGTGGTAATCAATTCTGGAATTTCACCCACTTTTAATCTGCCTTTTTAAATTAATTTCAGGGGGCTGGCCAAGATATCGGTCACGGATACTGCATTAACACGAAATGGATGGTATTCCAGGGTTCGTCTCTTCTAAACTTCCATCCAGTTACAGATGCCAAAACGCGCTACTTACAACTTTATCAGTAGAAATACGCTTTTCCCTTCACTTTTAGCCTGCATTCAAATTTGAAATTCAGCCAGAGAACAAAAATCCTACCGGTGCTGGCGATGACAGCCTTCGTAATGGTTTTTGCATAGTTAGGGACGCACAGGAGTTAAAACGCCTTGCTTGGCGCCTCCTTGACTCCAATCACAAAAGTCAACCAGCATTGAACCTGCTAAATCGACTGTCCGAGTTGGATGATCAGATGGTGAATTGTGCCCAACCATCACCGCCATCTGCAGTGCTTCTAAATTCACTGACGATGGCACTGGTGGAGTTAATCCAATTCCATGCCCTCGTACGTTGGAGTGAAGTACTTTATATAAAAAAACCAAAATTGCAGCTTGTTTGCGATTCTGAGAGGGGTTAGCTGCTGCCAACTCATTTAAGTGAGCTGTTTTCAAATAATTTTCCTTTTTAATTTAGGATCCCAGTATGATGAACTTTTGGAAACCAACAGAAGCGGATCTGCGACCTGACCTACCTCAAAAATCGTCTTCAGGTTGAGTGTCTCCTGTTACCTACTTACCCCTCCTACTCATTGTATTTGGAGTTTTTGATGCTCGAGTAGTGATTTAAGTCCGCCCTAGATTCTTTCCAACAATTTTGCACCTCTTTCCATCTTTTTCCCCGCGTTAGTCACATCAAATCCAAGTTTCAGTAGCCGCTCCTCTCCTCCTCAGCCACAAAGCAACAGAAATAGCACCGAAACTGACAAAACTCCTCCTCCCGATTACACAGCTGTTCAGCTGACTCTGGAGCTTAGCACATCCTGCGACCAACTTGATGTGTACGTTGAACAGGGTCACGAATGGGTGAGTCTACTCTCTGCTGCCATTTTTCCGGGGGGAGAAGAATGGCACTAATTGCCCTTGAAAATTGGTAAATTAAACGGTTTATTTATCTTCATGCTAGTGGCTACCGGGCGACAACCTGACCATGAATGCCATGATTGACATCAGAGGCATTCCTAATTCTATTCGAGTGTTTCCACGTCAGTGCTACTGCATGCTCCCGTCGAATAGTCCCAAATTCAACGAGAAAGTAAGTCCTTCTATTTGTGTGAATTTGCTGGTTTTTCTCGGGAGTGGGAATAAGCCACCTAGAAGGAACAACTTCTAAACAAAAAGCCATTGTTAGAGTCATTTTTTAGCAGCAATCGATGCCGACGCATAGAAGGACTGAGGAACAAACACGGACAGGATACAATGAGCCCGACTGGTGACTTCAAAACTCACTTCATTGAGGTGGCTACTGAGTAAATGTGAGGGTAGTCTGCAGGTTTGACGACCTGTGGCGTTTAGGCGCGATACACCCAGCTGTTGTGCATCAATGCCGGACCCTAAAAACGGTCTCTTTTCTTTCCCATCCAGTTCACCATCGAGCTCCAGCCCAATGCGTACAAAGATGTCATCCTGATTTTCACAGCCCGACAGATGGACACCTCGGGATTAAAACATTTGATCGGGGAGGCGGTAGTCCCTCTCAGTTCCCTGGCACAACTGCAACCCTCCTCGTCCACCTCAGTCAAGACAACACAGTGGTATGAACTCTCTCGGCGCAAATTTGAACGAGTTTGAGTCGAATAATGTACAGTGGACTGGTGGTATCCCCATTTGCCTTCTGCTCTTTTCCTGTTTTTTTTTTCCATATTCACCCTTTGACAAAATCCCCTACACATATGTCTTTCAAGAGAGCATAATGATGATGGTAACACAAAGTGAAAAATCAGCAGTTGCGCTTTACCTTTTTAAATTTGCATGCACAAGTATAAATTATCAGTGGAACGACGTACAAAAGGCTCGGTAGCGTACGCGATTGAGATCGTGTGGAGCCTTTGCGGATGCATTGACGAGGAATTTGGGAGGAGTGCAGCAGCTGACAAATTCTGCAGCTGTAACTGGACTAACTTCCGTTAAAGATACACGGTGCTAACTGCATCGGGGCGAAATGGGTGGAAGCGACAGTGGAATCTAGGACTTGAGTAACTTATGTTTGTAGTTCCTGTGAAATAAGTTGTTGCTTAGTACAGTGAATGGCGAATAGAACTATGGGGTTTGTGATGCGATACCTCGAATCCCTTGCCTCTGACGTCATGATAGGCCAGAAAAGCATAAAATTGCCGAGCACCGGCCCACATACATTGAACATAGGGCCGCAGCCTGAGGGGACCGAAGGACCGCGCAGTTCAATGCAGAGTTAAAAAAAAAACACTACAAGAGCTATTTTTAAATTGTCTAACAGTAAAAAACAACACTTTTAAAGGCAAAAAATTTTTTAAACCTAAAAAATTACTTTATGAATTCACGGTAGCTTTGCTTACAGTTTTGTTTACATAATAGACTTTTATTCAGTTAATATTTTCATCGTGTATCTGGAATGTTATTGCCACTTTTACAGTGATTCAGCAAAGCAGGCAACATTTTATCATGGCATATTTAAGTTATCCGGATTACGCATCGACTAAACAACTATGTCTTCTTATGTTAGCAACTAATTAAAGACGTCCTCCTTTCCGTACGAGAATATAGCGTAGCCCGTCAGTTAATGCTAGTTGCAAGTATGTATTGAGATTGGCTTACCTAGGTTTTGAGGTCCCCGAATATATGTGTGATGTTTACATTTTTTAAAAAGGTGCACTTTTAGCTTGATTGCCAAAAAATTACTTGGAATTGAGTGAACAATAGGGTGAACAATATGCACTGTACCAACTACTAATTACCTCGGCTCGTCTAGCCAATGTGTCACTTACACCACTTCCCATCAATACAGGCCAGTCATCACCTACGCGGTGCAATAATTGTGACACGCCACAAGGCCAGCCATTGTGTTCATAGAGGAATAGACAGCGGTCAAAGGTGTGACAGATGCACCTTCTTTGGTATAATCCAGAAAGGAACTTCATCTTGTACAAATCTGTTGGTGCAGCTAAACCATCCTCGAGCCACCTGCTTCACTGCGTTATCGCCAGACATCCAGAACTCCCATGGAGACGATGAGCCCAGGCTTCGCAACACGTTCTGCCAAAACCCTCCTTGATTCGGGGAATTATTCGGATCTCCCACTCTGGCAGGAAGTAAAAGCGTGCAAATGCTCCCACTTCTCAATGACCGCGCGCTGATCCCACGAAACAATTCGACCTTTGCCCAGGTTTACGACCAAATACGGATTGGTCAGTTGGCCAACATTGAAGATACATTCCACGAGATCCAATGTTCACGGAAATAGCCACCGCGAGATCAGGGCCAGCACAACAAGAATCATTAGTGACGTGGAGCCACGCTGATGCCTTCGAGTGTAGGTACGAGCGGACGTGCAATTAGCTCACCAGAAATCCCCCTCATCACCAAACGCTGCTAAATGCGCACACACACGCACCTTTGTGAGTGGACATAACCGAGCAACACACAACACGCGGACCGACTGGAAGGTCGCAGCCACGGTAGAAAGTCAATAGTCGACATGGAAATTAACACCCAGGGAGACAAATAACAAGTAGGAATCTACTAGCTTAAAGGAATACCATTATAGTCGAAAGGTCATGAAACAGCAGGACAGCCACATTAAGAAAAAATAACACAAAATGCAGAAGAAACGCAGCAAAATATGCATACTTCATGGTGTGGCAAGGACAAATGACAATAAGAATATGTATAATTCCTTGACTTCTCCGAACCACGTATAGCTACTTCTCTATCAACGTACCGCGAACTCTACGCTTCGCGGCTTGTTCATTCGCCTAAAAGAAAAATGACAAAAGTACTGGCAATTAGCCGAGGAACGAATGTGTAAAACAGGATGTTTGCGGGTCACAAACATCAGCAACAATTTCACAAGCTTTTGACACCGAAGGTGCAAGGTAAAAACAGGTAACGCCTTTTTAAATGCCAAAATGAAAGCTTCCCAACTGATCCTCTTGACAAGGTCACTACCAGTGTCACAAGTTCCAAACACAAATTGGGATTGGGAATTCTCACAAATACAAAAAACAAGTTCCAAATCTAACTTAACATGTTGCAAAATGGTTTTAAAGCAAATTTAACACTACCTCATCCACTAAACGTCTTTTGATGATACCCCGACGAATCATCTGTGCCTCGATGACCCGGACGTTCGCAGCGTAGGAATCAGCAACCTCCCTCGCCTCTGCCTCCTCCTCCTCGTCCTCGATTGTGGACACTGTGACTGCAGTATCAACACCCTGAGTAGTCTCCTGCTGCTGGACTGATCGCCTTAATTTTGAACTATTAGAACTAGACGAATTGAGATAGGAGAGGGGATTGACTGGCGGTGGCATAGAGCCGCTCTGCTGAGCCATCGCCTCGGCCTGTGATGCTAAAGCTGTCAAAAGCTTCACGTTTGCCTCGCCAGCGTCGGTACCATCCAATTTCGCAGTTCTTGTTGCCAATGCCGAGGCGGAGAGGCCAATATTCCCTTCTTGCATAGTCAAGGCATCACTAACTATGAACTCAGCCTAAGCACCCAGGATTCAGAAGTGAGTAGGCACTACAAACCACATGGTTCTTAACACTGTGACGATAAAAGAGAAGAAGACCGCAACTTTTGCAATATCGACGAAATTGTTTTTCTATTCCATCGGGCCAACGAATATAGACACAGCTGGAAGCACTAGCTTCAGTTGCTATTACTTTGTGAGCGCGTTTTCGAACGTCAATAACTTTAGATTTGTCCCGAGGACGCTCGGGGAGTTTCTCAATAGGGCAGTCAAGTATGAGAGCCATTTGACCGCAGATACAGCAGTAGATGAAGAGAGGTTTTTCACTACCATAATTGTGTCTGTCTTTATTGTCTGTGACAATGTGTGTCACTCGCTTCCGAACGCGAGGCTTGGGGTCTTTATTCATCTATAACAAACAGGTATCAACTCACCCAACCACAAACCAACCCTTTTAGAGAAGGCCGCCAACTTTCACCAATTTGAACAAATGCTGTTATTTTTGCTAATGCCTTTTAAATGCAACGTGCAAAATTTAAAAAATTTGCCTGCCCGTTGCTTCGAATTTTTATCACCAATGCAATATTTATCCCTATATTTCTGAAATCGTCACTAAGTTAGCTAGTTTGCATTACATAGTTTTTGTCATTTAAACACTCTTGCCTTCATTTTCAGCCATAAGTTTTTTCTGCCAGATCCTCTTAATGCGTTAACCACTGGTCTTTCCTACCAAAACTATCCAGCACCTGACTCAGGAGGTTGTACCAAGCCTGCGACCCAGAGATATCGTTGATAAAAAAATCCGCCCCCAAACCCAGAGCGACCTCGCTATGGCCGCACTCCCGCCTCCAAGGCCGGTCGACACACCCAGAGGGACTAACAAGAGAAACCGCAAATGATATGCCTTTTGGCACTCATACCAGCTCACAAGCAAATAAAAGAAACTAAAAAGTCCCCACCAAAACAATTAGGTATCACTAGGCAGAGCCTTCGAAGAGAATGTACCCCGTTGGATCTCTGGATGCTGCCCAAGGTAATGCATTAGTTGACTAGGATAATCCGTCACCACAGCGACGCGTCCCATTGAGAAGGCCTTATCGTAGTCCTTTTCCGTGTTACACACCCAATAGAACACCTAAAATGAGATGTACAATGGGGCAGCGCTACTTACAAAATCAGTAGTAGGAAATCAACATCCTAGTGATAATACACACCTGAATGCCGCGGGCCCTGAGGTGATTAACCAACTTTTCCGACATCAGCAAACTGAAATGAAAGTAGCTTTTTTTACCAACTTTCCAGAATATGAAATATAGCCTATCGCCAACTCACAAATCGGCTAATTGTATAATCCACCGAAGTAAATCATCGTCGGTGAAGCCACATTTCAAGAAGGCTGGGATTCTGCAGGAATAATCAATAAATTGGAAGGAACGAATTAAAAAGACGCAAGCACAAGGTCCTAGGAGTACAAGGCCTCACCTAGCAGCTCGCGCTTTGATGTATTCAACCACATTGGGCATTCGGCTAACGGAGGTGGTAAGACACAAAAAAGCGTCACAACCTACCCAAAATTTTGCACTAATGGGACTTCAAAAAATCCATCCGAGAGGGACAAGAAAGGCAGTAGACCTAGGTAATAAGCAAAGACAATCTTGAGAGTTTGTTTAATCGGTACAAAAGTGGCAATTCGCGGGTTCTCCATTTGACACTTCCGATTCACGGCATCGGAGAAACTGCCCCATACTGTAATATCGACACGATTGAACTCCTCGGTAAGGGCTGAGATCTTCTTGATCAGCACCGGATTGTCCGTCTTTACGTCAATATTGATTGGTGTGTGAGGAAATTGCTCAAAAACAGTTCGGAGAAGGGGGATCTGGCGTGAAACACCCTCCTCCGCCTTGCATTCTCGACCTGGAGAAAGGAAAAAAGAGGGGTCGCCTCTAAGACATAGTGCAGGGAGGCGGGCTCATTGAAAAGTTGTGTTGGCATTCCTGCTAGCTACCATGCCTAACAAGGAACAGACGCCTAGGAAACAGGTGAAAAACTCATGAGCTGGTGAATGCAATTGGTCATCAACTGAGGAAGTGAAAGAGAAGAAGGCGAAACAAGGTGTTAGAAGGCGTTAGGAAGGAGGCAAAGGCTGATTGAAGCGGGATTGGCGAGGGACTCACCGAATCCGAAGGTGACAGCCAATTGGTCGGAGTACTGAGGCAACTCGTTGAAAGCTAGATCACTGATACATTTGCTAACACCGGTAGCGCGAGTAAGATCGTTGTCGTGACTCACCACCACCTCCTCATCTTTGGTCAGCTGACAGTCGATTTCAAGCATGTCGCAACCGAGTTTGACGGAACTACAATAAATGAATGCTTAATTTATAATCGCTTTATCAACAGGCTAGACATGGAAGTCGTCGCTTGTGAGGATGGAGGGATTAGTCCGAGGTTCGATGATGATTGTATGTTGAAAGGGGAAAATAACAAGGAACGGAGGGATGGAGATTGCCAAATGAACTTCAGGCGAGGGACTGGATAAACGAATAAATGATTCGCTAATACCGGCAGAAAAAATAGACGTGCGATGGATGAATCAGGTGCACAAAGAATGTAGAAATAACGCCAAACAGGGTATCTAGGCTATGGTTTACGTGACTCAACCGTGTGGCACGACCGAGCCAGACTTGAGGTTAGAGCTCTGCATAAGACCATCTTACACCAACAAATTTTAACAGCCATTAATCACTGGATGACAGTTTCGTCAAAAGAGGTGAAAAGCTATTCAGAGGTCCACTCTACGCAGCAGGCGGCACAGGAAGAGAGAGATTTGATGTGAGTTTGAGGCAAATGCTCCAGAAGCAAGTTCTTTAAACAATTTCGATTTCGTGACGATTGACACGTCGACCTTGAGCCAAGCGCTGATGACAAACCAACTTGCTTACACCTAACTCAACTGTAAAAGGTGGTTGTAGAGGCTGTCAGAGAAGTGGGCATCAAATGCACTAATAAACCAATGAAAATACACAAAATACCACCAAGTAGTTTCCCTTCACTGTCTTTGTTTTATATCCAAGCGATGATGCAAGATGGCTAACTGACTGACCCGCGATGTGAAACGACTTCCATGTCCAAACGTCATTGTTAACCTGCCAGATAGTAAAAGCATTACCCAGACAACACTTTCAAGGCACAACTTCAGCTCAAGTGCCCGTGTGCATGGTAGAAAGGAAAAGCAATTTTTCATTCACTAAAGGATAATTTAATATATGCATGCAAAAACATCTTCAGATTGAGCCAGCACCACTGAAATAGGGAAAGAAGGAGCCAACATAAGGGCGCATACTGCCGCACAACTTGTCCCTGCGAGAATTTGTATCTTAGGATAGGAAAAGAGGGAGCTATTGCCTCACAATTAATAAACAATCGCATGAGTATGCAAGAAATGATGTCAAGAGAGAAGTTAAACTGGAATGGGAAGGAAGAAAAACCACATGAAATTACATGAATGGCTCGTGTTATCAAAAATGCTTCACTAATGCAGGGAAAAAAAAACAAGAAACAGGCATAACAGGACTCAGTACTTCTTCTCTACTGACCAGCCTTCAGAAACCAAAATTTCTTCCACAATCCATGATTGCTTGAAGCCACTAATGATGGCAAACGTTTTGACAAGCATTCACCCACTTGATTCAATCAACAAGCCATTTATCAAAAGTAAAACTAACTCGTAATCAATTAATTACCACCAAACCCAAAATATCATATCCGATACAGTATTTAATTATATTTTGCCTTTCCTAATAGGAAAAAAGTTGATTATGTCGCACTTTGTTTTGGCGTTAGACGTTAATGAAAATGGATGTCATTTCTAAAGTAAGCAAAAATATTGTCCTTATATTCAAAAATGAAAGAAAGAAAAGAACACACCAGCTTACGCTTAAAGTCAGATGTCAAGAGAGTTCCTCATCATTCCAAGCCTACACGTAGAGTAGAGCGATCGTTTTTGGATCTTATGGAAAAGGAAGATCAAAAAAGGCAAACCAGAACTTGCAACTACTTTGGCAAGTCAAAATGTAAATGCACACTTGTATCTTCAAAATGGGTGCTTCCAGCTCATCCACGCCACTCATTTCCACCTTGACCTCTGCGCAGCATTTCTACGCAAAGAGGCCGTTTATTGCTGCAGTAAAATCGGAATTGACCTCAAGTGATTAGTTAGTCTCATGCTCACTTTTTCAAATTACCAGCTTAGGGATCTTTCCTGTGTTAGTGATGATCTCTGAAAGAAACTGATTGTGGCAAACAAATACACGGTTAAATATGCGTAAAAAGCATAAAAACGTGCCTCTTTAAGGAAACTCAGTAGAAAGGGACACGAACCTACTAAAGGCATGGAGAGTGTTTTCAATGAACTCCCCAGATCCACCACGATGACACACAACGGTCGCGGATATCGCCGTGGTCTTTTTCTTGTGCAGCAGAGTGGGCCAACGCAGTAGAATGAGGGAGAGGGTCCAATATACACACAAAAGCGCCACCAAAACCTCAACCAACATCACCTAAGCACAAAAATATAGTGCTGATATTTCGTCAGAATAAGTATCGACATACCAACGCATACCTACTCCAAACAAGGCAAGAACGATTAGCCTAGTACTTAGACAAAACTTAGGAAACAAAACTATGGATGTCTGCGGTAATGTCAACATATTGGGGATCAAAAAAGTGCCATGAGTAGGGAGAAATTGAACAACTTGCTAAAAAAGACAAGAATGACGCAAGCGCACGGCGATTTAAGATCCCCAGTGGACAATCACGCGTCCTTAAGACTGGCAATACAACAAACCTAGTCCCCACAAATTTATAGTTAAAACAAATATTTCAAGTGAAAAATACTAAGCAATTTTTTGCTTTTCTACAACTTTGAAAATTAAGTACTTTTCTGGTATTAGTTTTACTGCCAAGAAATGAGTATATGCCAGGTATTTTCCCAGCAAAATCTTTAAACAAAAGATGTAGAGTTTGGAATACTTGTCCCTTTTAACAATTTAATGCATAATATGAAGTTGATCATTAAGTCTTTAACACTTTTTGCTGTCGTGCTTGCATTTTTGTCGGATGTACAAGAAGAAACGAATGCAGAGCGGATAGACTTGCCTAAAGACGAACGAAGTCTAAATACTCGTGCAGAATATATATATTCGACATGCAGTGGGGAAGTAGGTTACTGACAAGCCCTGACAACTTGTTCACTAGGCAAAGGTACAATGATGAAGCACTCAAGCGATTCCCTAGCTATAATAGATTGCCAGTTATCCTTCCTTATACATCCATCGCCTGTGGTGCTGCCTGCCTCCGCTAGAAGACAAAAGAAGGAAGTACTTAGATATAATATTTACAGCCAACGAACATATGGGCTTGAAGCCAGGCCAGGCTGTCTTAGCTGAGTTGATATAGCGTAGCACCTTCTACCCTTTTACCATTACCGATTACTAACCTTCACAGCACAGTCGGGGCTGTAAAACAAGCACACAAAGACCAACCGCCCCAGACGTCGGATTTGCCTGTACCAGAAACTATCCTTGATCCAAGTGTCACATATCACTCTTGGCAATTCCACTTTATCAGGAATTTTGCCTGTTTGTAAAACTGTATTTAGAGAGGGAGGAACATTCCAGCTATTATGAATGCTCACTGCTAGTCGTAGAAGCACTAGCCACAAAGCACAGTTATCTAACAAAGAATGGGTTTGATTTGTAAACCTGGAAGGAGGTTTTGTTATGTCATTCTCTCTTCAGAGCTGCCCAGCCGTATCTGGATGGGTTCTATCCAGCCAGTAGAGAGGTGGTGAAGGTAGTGCGAGCTCACTTTATCAATATCTTTACGCAGGTACGGTTAGCAGCTCCAGGACGAAGCTTTCCTAGCTGATCTACGGCTTGTGTCGCCTTTAATGCCAATAGCTTTGCTTCAGAACGCGGGACTAGTAGACGTCCTTTCCAAATTCCTTTTTATGAATTATCATTAGGACAGCCAGTGCCATGGTCCAGATGTCATGGTACCGAGCCGAAGCATAAAGGCGGGGTCACAAGTGCCTGCGCAGCCAAGAAGAAAAGATAAAATAGCAACCATGGTAATCAATTAGGGCACAAGAATACACACAAACGAATAACACTTCTCAATTTGCACAGGTTTGTTCATCTCCTTCACATACCGCTCACTGCCTCGGCTCAGTCAAGGTTACTCACAGGCTTCTCTACGTGCAGCACGCATCTCATCATTCATTAAGCTCCCACACAGCTCGTGTTAAAGGCAAAAAGCACTTCGAGGCGCCTTGTCATCACATTTTTAGCATCCCATGGAGGCATTAGAGTATACGGAGGAGAATGCAGACTGCTTTCCCGGTCACATATTTCGCCACTTCCGTACACAGGGAAAACTCATCGACCTACGAATTATGGTGGGGTGATGAATGGTAGATTTTATGCTTTTGACTTCTAGACGAAGGATGAAAAGTGCGTGAAGGCGCATCGAATGATCCTGGCGGCCAGGTTTCCCCTTATACGGAAGGCAATGACCTCAGGAGAGGGTAAAATGGTGGTTCAATGGAAGCGGTTTTCTGAGGAGTATGTCCAGACCTCTCTGTCTCTCTCGAGTCCATCAACTAACCTCCATTCAGCATTGTAGAGGCAGTCATCAACTACGCATATACGGGCAGTCTTACAATCTCCGCGGAAAATGCCACACGACTTTATATGCTGGCGCATAATCTCGGCTCCGGGAGGCTTGTCTCTTGGTGCGAGGAGTTTTTAGGACCAAGGTAAAGAAAGCCTTTCCAAAAGCTAAACATCGACTCTCTAAAGGATTACCCTGGACAACGTAGGAGAAATTTGGTCGATAGCCAATATCACGTTGAACAGTGGACTGATGGAAGCGTGCATTCCATTGATGTCAAAGAATTTTGAAAACCTGTGTTTTCGGCGAGACTTACTGCGGCAGACAACATCGGAGTACTTGGAGATCTTGCTAGAGAACAAACAACCAGAGGGTGTGAGTGAGGAGACCAAATTTCGAGCCATTTCCGAGTGGCTGGAGGCCGGTTTTGATGTGTGTGACTTGGAGAAAAGGGCAAAAGAATTTACAAAAATTATTTCAAAGATTGATTTGACCGGCATATCTCCTCAATTTCTCACGGAATTTTGGAAACTGGGGGAAGGAATATGCAGAATTACTCTCTGCAGGTGAGCACAGTGAGTGGATGAATATGTTGAAGGATGTGAGAGGAGGGGATGAATGATTGTGGTAGGTGACTATTTTTAAGTGATGCAAAATATATCAATGGAAGAATGGATGGATGAATGAAGGGATGGGTTGTCCCTACATCTCTCCATACCTTCTTCCTCTGTTTCCTTTCCGTTTTCTCAGAAATTACTTCACCAAGTCTTGGAACGAAGTCAACCAGCAACGCGATCAAGCCGAGGTTTCGGCTTTCCTTCAACTTTCCGCCAATAGGCAAGCAATGAAACTAGTTTTCCTCTCAGCTTAACCCCCACTACTTTTTCCTTTTTAAAAAATGAATAACAGATTCGACAAGTTGAGGTCTGACACCGTACTGCCACCTTCATCACAACCTTCAGAGCGTCACCTATCCCTAAAATTAACAGACACTTTACCATTTCTAGAGATGTACTTTTGACTTACGGATGGAATAAGACCTCGGGAGCTTGGACTTTAATGTCCGTACCACATCTGCAACCGGAAGAATCGATCAACATTCCAGTTGCATTTCATGGTGAAGCGGCTGTATCAGACAGTAAATTGGATAGAGGATTTTATTTCTTCCCTTTTGAGGTCGGTTTTATGTCCTTGGAAGTGTTGGTACAAAGAGTAGTCTATTATCAGCGAATATTCGGGATAGTTCCGTCTCCACAACTCCTGTACCACTAGATCCACGCTGTGAATATTGCATCACGTCGGAAAATGACTCAATTTTCATTTTTGGAGGACACTATCATGGACGATGCCTTCCTTTCTGCGAAAGATTGGACTCCGCCAGTGGAGGGTAGGATTGATGAAGTTAAGACACTCTATTTAGACTCACCAAACTCCCAGACATGCCAACTGCGCGACATGGAATGTCGGCGTTAAATATTGCAGACTTCGGAATCGTGGTCGTTGGTGGAAGTGATCGAGCTGATTCGAATTTACCGTTATCTAGAGACGCCGAAATGTTGATGAAAGTTCCAACAGATGAGAGTGGATGGCAATGGAAGAAGCTTCGTCCGATGTTGAAGGAACGCTACCGTCCAGGAATCGCCTGCTTCAATCGATGCGTGGTGGTTGCTGGAGGAGACTCCGAGTGCAGTGTCGAAAGTCTTTCACTGACATCCAAAGCTCAGTGGACTCGTCTTCTTGGAGTCAATACGTATGGCCCGAAAATCACATCTCTTGTCGCATTTAACAACAGGCTGATATTATTATGTAAGTGTCACGCTCGAAGTGTAAATTACTTAGCGAAATTAGTTTAATTCGTTCATTTTTCATATACTGTAGCATCAGACGACTCAGGAGGAGATGCTTATGAATTTCTACACAATGAAGGGGTAAATGAGTATTTCCTATTTAAACACAAGATTTTTAAAAACTAAGAATGGTGTGATCTTTGTAGGATCAATCACTGGAAAATTATGCATGGAAGCCAATATTCCGGTTGGGCAACATGATGTCGTCAAGGCTTTTGGTGACAAGAGAAAAACTGGAATAATCTTAGGTAGTGGACAAGAGAACGATGAAAACTTTTAAATTTTTTTGCATCCTTTGTTTGTACTGATTGTGGGAGCTATTATTTGGCAGTCAAACTTTTTAAAATGAAAGAAGAATAAAGCAAACAGTGTAGTGTAGTGTCTCAGGGCTTTTCTGAAGGCGAAAGACGAAACAATACTCGGGCAGAATATATATTCAGCACAGAGAAAGTGTTTGGTCTATTGGCATGGCCTGAAGGCCAGCCTACCCATCGAGGTACAAGGAGGCTAATTCAAAGTACAAAGGTGGCGCCTCACCAATAACGAGGGAGCAACCTCCATCGTATTACAGTAGATATAAATACATGTAAAATTTGTGCAGTGTGACGAGTGAACATTGTATCTAAATACATATTCACCAGCTGTTTATGCGTATTAGAGTGATAATCAGCAAACTTGCTATCGTAAGAGCTAATCACTAAGTTAACTTAAGGATCAGGTTTGCAAAAATATATTAAATATACTCTTATAATAAAAGGGCCATATAGACCTGAATCAAAATTCCTGGATAATCTACAGTAATACTTAAATATAAATGTTACAAATTTGTTTTTATAATTTAAAAACCTTAACAACTTTGCTAATAAGTAGAGGTGAAGAATATAGGTAGATAAGCGTAAATAAGGAGAGATTAGCCCGCCTTATTTGAAAATGTCTGTGGTTATCGATGACGGTTGGTCAGCTTTTACTTGTCTGTTACTTTCCAGATGGATACGCTGTAACGGATCTGGATATACCTGCAAATTTTATTGAACAGCCAATCAATGTGCAAAGTGACTCCTCGAACAATGGATCTAGTTCTTTGGAATTCATTATTCCGCCTAAGCAACAGCAACAACCAGTCATCGATGTGTGTACCGAACACAATATTAAACCATCTGATCATACAACAGTAGCAGATTTTCAGGGTTAGTTGTACATATTCCTTACCTATTTTGTGTGGTGATCTATGCGTAATTTATTGGTGTCGTTATTGTAGCAACCGCTGCGACTAGGAAATTAAACTTACCAGAAACTGAAGCACTCTGTAAGTAAATGCACTTTTGACGATCTTGTTTAGTTTTGAATGGTAAGTAGCACATTAACTGTTTGTTTAATAAATATTTCTCCTTCTTAAAGTAATGGATTTGATCTACTGGAAGAATCCGCACACATCAGCCCTTGTGTTCGCATTGATTTTGACCTTTGAACTGGGTCTCCTCGTTTGCTCTGTAATCGCTGTCGTATCCAATTTCTTTCTTTTCTTACTACTGGCATCAGCTTTTATGCGGATCTATTACCGTGTCATCGGCACCCCCGAGGCTAATCCCTTCAGGTAAGTCTTTTCTTCACTTTATACATACCTCTAGATTGGTGATTTTTAATTCCTCACAGGTGACAGTTTTGCCTGTTTTGCTTAACCAATCTTGTGATTTGGAATTAGTACTCCTTGCCTCTGCGTTTACAAACTGTCCATTAATAATTAAGCTCATTTTATGTGCATTTATTTTTAGTTTTAAAAACTTGAATAAGTGTTGATGGGCTACTTATTTGCAAAATGAGCGGATTTTTCTGCATGGTAACAGTTTTGCGCTGTTGCATTTATCTACCGCCTAGTTCCGGGGGGAAGCAATCATTACTGTTCACAAAAAATGGGTTGCTCTTAACAAGTAAGGTCCCCAAAAATAAAAAAGGATGTAGTTATTCGCCCCAGTTGATGCTTTGAACTCAATCAGTTCGTTTGCCACTCATTCAGTGCTTATTATAGACTGATAAGCAACACAAGCTACTTATTTTTGACTTCGTGTGGAGACATCACACGCGCGTGGTGCTGATGCAGATCGTGTTAAAATTGTTGTCAATATTGGATGAATGATTGCACGCTTAATGCACGTCTGCTCTGGGATCGGTTAAGAAGCGCTCCATTAATAAATTATAAGCTTATTAAGGATGCCCAAATGTCTTTAATCACGTCGTTAAATGTGCAGACATCGAATGCTGCTTTTTCATCATCACTAGGTAGGCGAGAGAAGTGGCACAGTAAGCTACCTCGCCGGACAAAAGGCGAGGAACAGATTGAAAGTGCCATTTGCCTTCAGTCCGCTACTGCTGCGCTCAAAAGGCACTTTAATCGGTGCTTATAAAGCCTAATTGGTGCTGTGTGCCTACTCCGATTTTTAGCTACTTCAGCACTTGCGACTTTCGTCTGAGTCCAGCAACCTCCTCGCACCTGGCACAGATAATCACGACTCGGGTGAACAAACTTATTCATGCCACCCTGGACCTCTTTCTCCTCCGTCACATTGGCAACTCTGTTCGAGTGCGGTTTTGATTTGGGATAAACCATTTCTCACCCCCTCTTCTTGTCCACTTGACACTGATTTGTGCATTGCAGTTTGGCGTACTGCTCTACGGTCTCACCTACATCGGGGCGCGATTCAACTTCTTGACGCTGTGCATATGGAGTAAGCCGTGTTATCTAGATTTCATTATAATTCATTTGTTTTGAATTATTGAAAATGACGGCTTCTATCTGGGAACGGTGGTGTCGTAATGAATGAAAGTCTCTTCTTTACGCCTAATTTGCTACCAATAGGACCATTAGGTAGGGTATTTAGTTCTCCTCCTCCCTGATATAACCGATTTTTTGAGCTGTTGTGCGAGTGTTGTATACTTTCTGGAACTTGAGAGAAATTAAGTACAATTGCAGTCATTGCGCTGGTCCACAATGAATGAAAGGCCACATTTGTTGTTGAGTTATTACTTGGAAAGCAGAGGTGGTTACATTGTCGTTACAACACCCCCACTTTCATGGCGACCTATGTGTCGACTAGGTCTCCTCTGCATCAGTTGAATGTGCGTAGTGTACAAATGAATGCCATGGAATAACCACGGGCGTGAGTTTCACTGACGTACACAGGTCTTTGAAATGTCTAAACCACTCAATTAAATTGCTTTTCTCTGATCAACGTCTTTGTCAAGGGGGAAGTCCGCTCATTATCACAGCCTTCTGCACATTCATTTTGCAACCGAGACACACTACTTTGGTTAAAGATTAAGTTGACTCAACGACTCGTGACGCCTAGTTCGAGTGCCTGGGGTACCACTGTAGCGGCACCTCACTCCATGCTGTATCTGCAAATGCAAGTTGGACTCGGAAACGCCTCGTAGTCGCTGCGTCGAGTTCACAAGCAAAATCGAGACATAACATCCTTTCTCCCTTCTATAGCCACAGTGATAGCCTTTGGAGCACCAAAATTGGTCGATAGATACAAGGTAATGCCTCCCTTCATGCAATACATCCCAACTCTCCTGAATACTCACTACTCCATTTTCCTTCGTTTCCTTCTCTAGGCCGAAATAAGTTGCTTTACAAAACGCCTTTTTGGAAATGGCCAGAGGATGACGCGAGGGTAAGTTGGTGCTAGAGTACAACAGGTGCGAAAGATTCTGCTTCTTTCCTATCCCTTCTCGTGACCTCCTTTTTCCCACCCCTTTGTAGAGTGTGGAAGTGCATGGTGGAATTGTTCGCACCCGAGAAGTCGAAATGAAACGATAGAGAGCACTCCCC